TTTCATTTCAGAGGCCTTGTGAATGTGGCCAAGACAACACGTAGGCACATTTTCCATGGTCCACTCTATTTGACAGTGCCTCCATTTCATACCTCACCCCTACAGTTGCCCTTTGACCCCCAAGTTCAAGTTCAGGCAGACATGGACTGTCTGGCATGGGTGCTGAGATCACCACGCAAGGGTTATATGACCCAGGAGAATTCCTCCAGGGCTCTCTCCATGTGACAGTCCATTTTCTCTGCCTCTACTTTTCAGCCAACTTCCTAACAGGGCTTTTCCTCAGCCAATCCCCTGGCCTGGCACCTCTGACTTTTGTTATTAAATGAGTATAAACAGCAAATTCCTAGAGCCTCCCTGGCCTTCTTTCTCAGAGTCCTCTTGTAGCCAAGTCAGAGCTGCAGTCCCTAGGTACCAGACTGTCCAAGGTGGCCACAGCCTCAGGCTGGGCCCCTCCACTTGGAGGTGAGCAGCGTGACATCATGGCCAGCCATGCCTCATGTTGGGAAATCTCTGTGCCTTTGTGCATAATTTGCATCTCAAAGCAGGAAGACAAAAAGATGCATAGAAGAGACTTCCTCCAAACGCTAAGACAACATTCCTCTCTTGTCTTTCCAGGAAAGGGCAAGCACTCCTGGGAGCCACACACTTTCTAGGACAAAGATGTCTGGGCAAGAACAGGCAGGGAAGGGAGGAGAAGCATGGGAGGTTTTGCCTGCTGTCTTCCCTGCTCTTTTAGCTTGTGGTTTGGCCAGAGCTCGGCAGGGACCCAGGGAGCACACTGCTGGCCAGAAATAGTTTGCAATAACCCCTGAGTGATGGAGGTTATTTGTGGAGACAAGGCAAAGGAGAAAAGGGAAAAGAACTCAGTTTAGGTGTATGTGCCTCTAGAAGGGCCTGAATCCCACTCTGCATTTTTTTTAAGTAACTGGACTTTGGACTCAGGGGCTTGTGCTTGCTGAGCAAGCACTCTATCACTTGAGCCACACTCCCAGCCTGAATCCCACTCTGGAATAGGCCGGGGTTGTACTTTCAGATTTGCTCAACCCAGTGTTCTTATAATAGAAGAACTTTGCAAGAAGTCTCTCTCATCACAGCTATGACAACAGACTGACAAGCAGATCCTTGGCGGGGGCTGACCTTTGCCCAAATCCTCTTCACCCACATGACTACACTGCCAGGACAGCTGACCAGAGGAAGCCCTAGAATGCAGTAATCCTAGGGTCCTTGGCACGCCACAGCTGACTGAAGGTCCGGGTAAGAGTAAGAAAGTTCCCTGGTGCAGCAACTTAATGCAGCATTATGTTTGCATCCCCATGATGAGACCATGGGCATGTCACAGCTGTCTTCCCAAGTCCACCAGGCCCTGCCCACCTGCTCCGGCCATCACAGGAGGAGGACTGTTATTAAAATCAAATATGTGAGCATCTTGAATGTGAGGCTGGGTTGTGATAATTCAGACGGCCTAGCCTAGAAGCCAGATCATGCTGTTGAATTGGATTAATCATTTTACTTTTCTATAATCTGGAATGTGGTCACCACCTGTATTCTGGAACTTCCTAAGACCTCCACCAAGGCCTATCAACTTAAATGCCTCTAGACTTGGCATTTTATGGCTTCTTGATGGCCGAGGCAGGGTGGCTTATACTCTCTTTGATTAGTACATGTAAGGTGTGCCTCCAGTTTCCCATGAAGGACACAAATTCTCTTTTTGTTTTTGTTTTTGTTTTTATACACACATTCTTCAGGTTGAGAAATAACTATGGGAGTGGGCTGAAGCAGCACACGTCCCTTATTTGGGATTCTAGTTTTGATTCATGCTGGTGGCTCTGTACTCTGCTGGGCTCCCTCAGGGTGAAAGTCCTGGAGAACTTTCCTGTGCCTCTCTCAATAGAGGGTCTGTTAGGTTTACACCTTTACAGCCCTCCATCTCCATGGGCAGCTACTGTGCACTCCTGAGTTGGGCAGAAGTTGAAAAAGGCAGGAAAGGGAATAGGAAGCATCTAATGCCTCTCCCAAAGCCTTTCCACTTGGAACTGGAATTGTCTGCCTTTATTTCCCTGGACAGCTGGACCTCCATAGGTTGCCCTTGGCAATTCTCTCCCAGGAAAAGCAGCCTGCTGGGGTGGGAGCTGGGGCCAGGCTGCTGCAGGGTCTGGAGGCCCCTCCTAATCCCTATTTGTCTTCCTTTGGGAACTTGCAGTGCTAAAAACAAGCTTTCTGAGAACCATATTTTTGGGTTAAAGGTGAAAAATGCAGCATTTCCTCCAAGTGGAAAGCACTGGGCCTGCCAGCACCGGGCACACTTCCTAGAGCCTTCCTCCCACTCAGGGAGAAGGCAGATCCCTGCAAGGGGGAGCAGGGAGGAGGTGGGTGGTGAGGGGAAGGAGAGGAGGAAAGTGCCAGGCAGATGGTGTGGAAACCAGCAAGCCTGTTTGTGTTGGAGCAGCCTAGACTGGAACTGGACTGGTCAGGAAATGAAAGGCAAATAAGAGGGCGGGAGATTGGGCAGCCATTCAGAGTGGTGGAGGACAGACATGACAAGCTTCTGGGGGCAGTTTGGGGACAATGAGATCCCCACAGACCTGCCTGAGGGAAATCTCACAGATGGGCTTAGAGGAACATACAGGGTTGTGAATGTCCATTTTAATAGGAAAAACATGAATATTACCTTCCTGCATCCCACGCCCACTGCCCTTGTTTAGAACTTGTGGGACATTCTGGGGAATTTCCTCAGATCCCGATTGCAGGACAACAGCTTTTCAGGAACCCAGATCTCAGCTATCCTTCCCACACAGGATGGGAATTGCATTAACCTCTGAGCTCCCTGGCTACTCCCCAAACCTTTCTCCCCAGCTAAGAGCCCAGCCAGCCTTCTCCAACCTGCCTCTCACCACACACAGCAGCTACCAAAAAGCCAAGGCACAGATCCCCTCTGCTTTCTCCTCCTCTGAACAACATGGCTGCCAAGGTGCAGGCAACAGGTGGAAGGACAGATGGAAGCAAGTGGACAGAACTGGGGGAGGGGTCAATACCCTACCACTGCACCTGGCCAGTCACTGAGATCTTCAAAGAGCATGCCCCAAGGCAAGGTGCAATGAGCTGTGATCACAAGCTGTCCCTTCCCTGCTGTGTTCCAACGATGTGACTTGCTGAGGAAGACTGCTTGTATAAATGGCCTGATTTTTGCCTTTCCTTATGTTCATGCTAAATGGTCCTCTCACTATGGAGAGAGGTCCCTATGTCAGCCAGGAGATGGAGTCTGTTCCTTCATCTCTCAACTCTGTCTATTTTGACTAGTAGGATGTGACTGAAGTGTTACATGGCAGTTCCAAACCTGGGCTGTAAAAGGTCTTCTACCTGACTGGCCTTCTTCCCTGTCATAAGATGGGCAGGTTCAGTCTAGCCAGCTCCTCCCAGGAGGAGGATGAGAGACACATGGAGCAAACCCAAGTCACCTTACCATGTCAGCTGAGGCCCTCCTAAATCAGCAATCCCTCCACATGTGAGCAAGTCCAGCTGAGACCAGAAGAACTCCCTAGTCAAGCCCACCAAAACAGCAGAGCTGCCAAGCTGCCACTCCAGGCATAGTAACAACAAATATTTCCTGCTGTGTGTCGCTGAGGGTTTGTGGGTGTTTGTGTGGCAGTATTATTGTGGCAAAAAATAACAGATACACTCAGAAAACTGGGATACCTACAAGCCCAGGCTGAGCTCTCCCCAGCTCTCCTGTCCATCAGTTCTGAGGCTTAATGTTAAATGATTTATCCTCATTAACCACTTCCACTATAAACTCATCCCATTATCCTGGGTTTTGTCCACAGAGAAGGTGAAAGAGCCACAATTCAAGCTTGGGCTATCCTGTCTCTTACCCTGTACTCCAATGGCTGAGCCTTCCTGTTCTCTTGGGTCCCTCTACACTGTTGCCCTCTCACTATAGGCTCCATCACTATGTCACTCCTATCTCTTAGCCCCATCTGCTTCCCACCTAGGAAAATAAGTGGATCTCAATCCCCCTAGCTCCAACACCCACTCCCAGGCCCTCATCTCTGGGTCATTGCATTTTTCTTTGGATAACACTTGCATGGAACAACAATTCTTCTGTAAGACAAATCTTTGGCCTCAACTCCGCCGGATATTTAGCTAAAACCACAATGAATTTTGTTTGGCTGGAAGCAATCCATCACATGAAAGTAACTCCATCATATCTCAGGAAGCACTGGCCCCAGCGGTCTCCAAGGAAAAGGTGTTGAGTTGAGAGTGGCTGGGAGTGGTGGGGCCCACTTTCTACCATGTCTTCTCTTCAGATGGCATTGGCCAGGTGACGTGTACAGAGTGGGAAGATTATTATTACCATGGTTGTTATCACCATTATTCCTCTGATAGGAAGGATCCTAGTCATCAAATGTTCCCAAAGACAGGAGGCAGAAGGTTGAGGCACAAGGCAGAGCACTCTACTTATTCATCTCTTAGAAGTCCTCATAGGCTAGAACTTTGCTTTGCACAATGTTTTAAAGCCTTTGCTGAACGAATGCTGCACAAGCATGAGTAGAATCATGACTGGGACTAATTATAGGCTCATATGTGAGTTGGATCATATCTCCCTCCTCTTTGAGGGCAGCATTCATCTCACCTTTCCCTTAGCAAGTCCGGTCATGGGGGTCTGCCAGTATACCAGCTGCCGGCAGAGTCACATGCATGCATAGCAAAGGGGCACAGCTGATGGGGCAGAAGAAAGAAGCTCCCTTTCTCTGATTCTTGTCCACATGCTGAGAGCCCACACCCCCCAGCCCTTCCCCGCGCATCCTCAGAAGTGTCCATTTGTAGATGCAACATCTACAGAATCAGTAACCTCTTCAGGAATGAATGAGTGAATGAATTCTTCTTTATCCCCTTTATTCAAGTTTATTACAGATATTCCCCATCTCTTAAAATGACAGTGGCCCACTTCCGTAATACATTCCTTTTAATCTGCTTATTTTGGAAAGCTTCATATTTGTCCCCTTGAGCCACCAACATGCACTGAAAGAGAATGGTCCGCTCCCTCAGTGTCCCACCCATGTCACTTCTACCACAAATGGCCAAAACAAGTCTCCTTTGGGAGAAAATTTTTAGGAAAGTGTGCAAGAATTAGGGTTGTCCACACTAATTTCCAAAAGTATACTGTGCAGACAGTCTGCAGCTATAAAAAATATACACATACAAAAGTACAGCTACAAAATCACGGGGCCCATTTTCTTAGATTTGCATTATAAAAAGTAGAGATTTTGCATTAAATGTAAGTTTCTGGGAAGGGGTCACATTATGATTTTGATTCTATGTTTAATCTCCCCAACATTTATTTTCGTGAAGGTGCTGCACATTGAGCCAGCCAGTGAGGAGTAGAAAGGGCTAATTTGAATAATCCATGGGCCAAGGTGGGAAATTTGATGCTCAAGGTCACATACAGTCATTCTGCTGTCAGTAATAGTGTCATGAGTCAGGGAAGGAGAGAAGTAACTTAATACTGCTCTGTAGGGTATTCTCTTTCTCTCTCTCTCTCTCTCTCTCTCTCTCTCTCTCTCTCTCATATGCACTATGAATCACAACACAGTCATTGAACTATAGCAGACGGGCTCTGGAGTTCGCATTAATGTGTGATCTCTGGCAGACTCTACACATTGAATGGACAAAGTCTGATGCTTCCTACACAAACTATTCTTTGGGTTTGGCCCACAGAGCGTCAGCAGGAAAGGTCACCCAGGACAGGGCCTCCTGTCTTGGTTCTCAGTTCCCATCAGGATGAACTCTTCCTTGATGAGAGGAAACACACCTGGTCCCTGGGCCTCTGTGTGTGGCATCCGGCAGATCTCAGGGACCCCCAGGATGGTCAGGATAGAGGCTCCGTCCCTTGGGCAAGACCAGCTGGTGTTACTTGGCTCCACAAGTATTGATGTTTTTCCCATCCACTGCATCTTCCACGAGGGAGATGTGGTAATCGGTGGACAGGGTGAAGTGGGAGATGCAGCCCACAAGGCCTCGTATGTACTGCCTATTTGTGTGCAGAGCAATTTCCTTCATTCCACCTGCCAAGAAGCAAAAGGGAGATTGGGTGAGCCAAAGAAGCATTTGGATCTTCTTCTTTTTATTTTGCTTTTGCAGTCCTGGGGCTTGAACTAGTGCTTGCCAGGCAGGCACTCTACACTGCAGTCATTCCGCCAGCCCTCAACTGGGGCTTCTCTACTGGCCACTTGAGTATCTACCACCAAGGCATCCCTTGGCTGAAAGAACAAACTGCTCAAAGCATCACATCTATTTTATAATTATCCTGAAGGAATAGATTAATTTGGATCAATTTGACACAGCAAAAGGCTACAAAAGCACACACCTCATTGTAATTTCTGGCCCAACTGACCACCTCAAAACCAAATAGTATCTAGTAGATTTTGAAATATTATATAATATCAACAAAATGTACTGCCATTAAAGCTGACGTCATCTTAAACCAAAAGAAATATACTCATGTTGAATGCTTTCAAATAAGTTCACTCTTAGAAAATATAGAAAGGTGGTATATTTTAATGTTTATGTGTCTGTATTCATTAGTAGATTACAAGCCATTTATAGACATACTACTCATTCTGTTCTGAGAGGGGCTAGAAAGACAGATCTTCCTTCCTCAAAGAGAATTCATGGAGGCTATGTTTAGAAGGTTCCTGTTCTATAAAATAGAAAAGCATGGCTTTCCTGGTGGATCAGTTCAAAGCACAAAAGCATGTGAGTGAGTCCTTTCCTGCTCCCTCGGCCATGAGTCAGAAGCTCAAAAAATGGAAGAATGGAGTATCTGGACAGCTTCCTGACTTCCAGGTATTTGATCCAGTAAAGTATGCAGCCCTGACACAACAAAGAGAGAGCTAAAAAGGAAAAGCCACAGCCCAGTTTAGATTTCGTCAAGGTCACTTACCCACATACAGAGGTCCATTGATATTGAGTTGTCTCATCCTGCCAGGTGACTTGCCTGTTCTGGCTCCATAGTCATCCACAGTAATCTTCCCTGACTGACCATCCCTATAAAGTAAAATCAAACAAACAAATGAAACTGCCATTTTTTGGAGATAATTCATTATTTCAATAAAAACGTATGGGAGCACCTGCTATATTCCAGGTTCTGTGCTAAACGATGGGCTGTAAAACCCAAAACTGAACAGCAGCTTCTTGACACTGCGTGTGGAGGGCGACCCTGGCCTCACTTCTTGATAGCAACTCTTCTAGTGCTGAACTTCAGAGAACATTCTCCTTTGAGACCACACACTGCTGCATTAGAATCTCACACCTGGATGCTTTAATGAGCAGTGCCCCCAACAGCCTGCCTTCTCTGCTCTGCAAGGCACTCCCAAACACTCCAAACTATACAGCTCCTAAATCTCTCTCTCTCTCTCTCTCTCTCTCTCATCCATCTGCAAAAGAGCTTGTGCAGAAACATCCAAAGGACTATGAAATGCTTCAGTTCATTATTCTAAAATACTGTATTTTTCCCACAGACTTTATTTCATCAATGAAGAGCATATTTCCTCTTTTGCATTCTGAAGATGTGTCTTCTAGTTAGTGTCTTAGATTTGAAAAACTGTGGTCTCACCTTCTCACATCATACATACGTACATCTTCATAAGTTTATTACTTACTGTCTGTCGCCTGCCTCCCAGCAGAATGTAAGACCATCAAGACAAGGATGTTGGTTTTACTCAGAAATGTGTCTCATGTGGCTTGAATAGCATATGACTCATAATAGCTGATGAATGAACAAGTGAATTTGTGGAGTTTTGGCATTCTTGTCTGAAATGGGAACTAACCATATTCATCTTCCAAAGATGGAGATCAGAGATCCAGGGATTACACATGAAAAGCACAGAGCATGGTACCTGATGCTTATCTTGTTCTGTAAAGACTGGTAAAGGAGTGTGCTGCTATTGTTACCAACATCATCATATAATCATTTTTATACTTAAAATGAAGATTATAGAACTAAAATTGCTATGAATATTAACTGAAATAAAGTACAGTATGTAAAGCATCTGGTATGAGATATTTAATAAGTGAGAAATGTTCTCTATTTTGCTAGAAGCAATACTTGCAAGACTGGGATTACCCAGAGCAAGACAGTATTCAAAGCAAGACCCTTTTAGGGTTTCCTCTCTATCAATTCTCCTCTCTCTCTAATCCCAAGAGAATTAAGGTATTCATCCAACTTTTCTTACCATATTCCACAGCTGTGACCTTCACCCAGTTCCCAGTTAGATCTATTGCAACATCTCTTTGGGTCCTTTCTGCTCATAACTCACATCTGCTTGAATCCTCCCACCTGTCTAGTTCCTAGGCTCAGTGCCTTCTGTTCAGCCCTCTCCATAACCTAAGACACACGAGGAATGAGATCGAGTCTACCAATAAGAAGATCCCTGTCTGCTGAGCCACCTACATGTACAAAACTTGACACCTGAAGTTCTTCTGGGAGACATTCCTCCCAGACATCTGACATCTAGTCATGTGTGGGCTACATCATGGGTTGGAACAGAAAGGTTTTGATCTAATCTTTGCCCACAACAGTGTATTGTCTTGGGAAAATCATTTAAAATCAGTTTCCTTGAATGTCTAGGAAGGGCCTGACATTCCTCACCATTGTGTATCTTCACAAACATAACCAAACCACAGTAACTGTGAACATTTTAAAATCCTTCCACAATGTGTGACTATTCTACCCACCAGCCCTACCCAATGAAACTGAGAGCAGGAAGTTCCCTGATGTTCCCAAGGCAGGGACTTTAGGGATCAACTGTGGTTGGCATTAAGAACTGAAGCATTTCATATTCCTTTGGATGATTCTGCACAAGCTCTTTTACAGGTGAATGAGAGAGAGAGAGAGAGAGAGAGAGAGAGAGAGAGGGATTTAGAAGCTAAAGAGTTTGGAGTATTTTGGAGCGAGGTTGGACTTTACTCTAGAATAAATGTGAGATTGAAGCCTGCTGGCATTCATTATGGAAAAATTTTTCTTTTTTCAACAAGTTAGAGTGGGAGGCCTCATCAAAATTACTACATGTTTGGGCTTTCAAGGTCATGTGGCAGCACAAAGGTACAGATCTGCCTCGGCCTCCTCATACCTCCTCATAGGTATCTAAGGAAGGCACAATGCTCCTCCCACCACAGCCATATGGGAGCTAGGGAGGAAGTTGACCACACTGGGTCCACATGTCCCAGACATCACTCTTGACTTCACCGTCTGTCTTGCCCAGAAAGGGTTATAGTAATTCCTAGGGATCTTCTCTTTGGACTTTCATCTAACATGAACTATCGTTGGTTCTAAGTTTAGACCTGCTATTTGGCATCTGAAACTACATGGTTAAGAATAAGAACACAAGTGATAAAACTATAAAGGAGAACAAAAGATTGATTTGCCAAGGCTATCAGAAGTCAGGGTGATGATTATTGCTGGGGGGGGAGATACAGAATTGGGGCTGAGTAAACCTCACATGGCTTCTGAAGTTCAGGCAATGCTAAACAAAAGAAAGTGGCAATTGCCTGTGCAATGAGGCTTGGAGCATTCTTCAAAGAATGAACTTGGGGGCATGAGGATGCCCCCAAATCTCATCTGACTAGATTTTGAGGTCTTCTCCCAATGTAGCCATCAAAAAGTTTATTCTCCAGAAGGTTCAGTCCAGATGTGGAGGGTCAGTCTCTGGCCTGTTAGTTTCAGTGGAGAGCAAGGTGGGACTTAGTGGCAAAAATACCCTGACTGTCCTGGGACAGGAATATGAGGATGCCAGATGAGGGTTGGGAATAGGACAGTGAGATTGAAAGGGACTTGATCACCACATCCCACTCTCCTAGCCTGGTTCTGTCTCCTGCAGTGTTCAGCACTCACCTAACAGCCTTGACCCGGTGCCACCGGCCATCGTTGAAAGAGCCATTCACCATGATGGATGCAACACCACTGCCCAGGTTGTAACTAAGGCCATTGGAGAAGAATAAGATGAAAATCACAATAAAACACTGAAACACAGGCAGACATCTATTTACAAAGGATTCTCATTGTAAAGGTTCTTTGGAATGCAGAATGCAGTTCATTAACCACTAACAAAACAATGACACAAATGGTCAGTTTCCAGGTGGGCTCATGCATGATTTGTTTTTTAATTTTTCAATTATAGTACGATATACATACTACTTACTATTTTTTTTTTAACATTCACCATCTTAACCATTTTAAGTGTACAGTTCAGTGGTTAAGTGAATGCACATTGTTGTCTAACCAACCTCAAAAACTCATTCCATCTTGTAATATGAAACATACTGTACCCATTAAACAATACTCCTTATTTCTCCAACCCTCAGACTCCTGACAACCACCCTTTTCACTTGCAGTATCTATGGGTGCGACTACTCTTCATCTAAGGGAGATCATAAAGTATTTGTCTTTTTGTGACTGGCTTACTCACTTAGCAGAATATCATCAAGGCTGATTTTTTTCATTTAAAGCCCATGTTTGGAAGCATCAGTATAAAATTATGAACAACAAGAAGGATTTTTATCATTTGTAATGTGTCACTCTGGGTTAAGTAGTGTTCCCCTAAAATTCACATCCACCCAGAACCTAAAAATACAACTTTATTTGGAAATAGGGTCTGATGTAATTAGCTAAGATGAGGGTCATACTGGTTAGGGTGGCCATAAATCCAGGGTAGCTGGTATTCTTATAAGAAGAGGAGATTTGGACACAGAGACAGAGACATATGGGGGAGAATGCCTTGTAAACATGATGGCAGACCCTGGAATGATATATCTATAAGCTAAGTGACCCTTAGGATTGCTCAGTAAACCCAAGTAACCAAAAAGAGGCATGGAGCAGAATCTCTTAGGCCCTGGGAAGGAAGCAATGCTTGTAGCATCAAGTGTTTTGGATTTCTAGTCTCCAGAACTGTGAGTTTTTATTGTTTTATAACATGTAATCTGTGGCAATTTGTTATGTCAGTCCTAGAAAACTATACATGTGCTTTTACCTTTTTTTTTTTTTGATACAACATTGCAGAGTAGGTTGAGCCCCAAAGAAATTGAGGAAATTTGCCTAAAAATCACAAAGCCAGAACTTAACTTTAATGTATTATCTGTTCCATATCCCATTTTACTCTGATATCAGGTTCATCTAGTAGTTTCCACTTTTCTATTTCAGTTCCCAGATACTCTGAAACCCAAAAGATATCAGAAGACCTGAACAAGTTGTTTACTAGAGAGAAATAGCTCTCTCTCAATCCAATGTTCATTCAATTATTCTAATTTAATTCAATTCAACAAATATTTAGTGAGTGACTACTCCAGCCTGGGCATTGGGCCAACTGCCTTGACCTTCCCTGGATAATGTAACACGGCCCATGTAAGCATGCCTCTGAAGGGAGCGTGTTCCACCTAGACAGCTTTCCACTCATCTTGTAAGGGGAGGTATCTCTACCTCATTGTCCAAGAAACAGAAATGTCGGGAAGAAACCTGGATTTGTCTGGAGCACTCACTTGCCCTTGTTCTGAGAGCAGAGAAAGCTCCGTAGGTTTTTCCTTTCATAACATAGCTCAAAGAAATCACACAGCCATGGACATTTAACAAAGAATCAAACTATGGCCCTTGTAATGACTCAACAATCCAGGACAAAGCTGCCACTCTAACCCTGAAAACTCTACTGTTTGCTGGTGCTTTTTCCCACACCAAGTGTCTCCTTGGATAAACCAGTGGGATTTTCAGACTTCATTATGTGGTAGCCAAATGCTTGCTGAGGAAATGAGTGAATATAAAGCAGTGCTAGGAGCTGGCTGGCAGAAACTCAGCTGAATTATAATCTGTGGCTTCTCTGAGAGCAACACAGGGCGACAAAGCACAGGCACTACATGGATTTCCAAACCTACATGGATTATCAGTCTTGCCAATTTACTGGCTCTGTGACCTTGGGCAATTTGCTTTACGTCCCTAAGCCTAAATTTCTTCCTGTGTTAAAGGCAGGTGGGAATACCTGCAGGATTGTAGGGGAGGTTAGGTAAGATAACATAGATAGAGAGAACAGCACATAATAGGAATACAACAAATAATGCCACCACCCCAAATACATGTGGTACTTAGTGTAGCTTGTATGCAAGGTTCACAATGCACCCTGAAGACCTAGGAGGAGAAAGCTAAGAGTTAATTCATCAGGTCTCTTCTAGGAGACTAGCCATGTGTGAGAGTGGCTGTGTGAGAGTGACTCCACAGGCTGTAAATATGTAACCAAAGTGGTTAGGATCACCCAGATCTCAGAATCAAGGTGACCTGGGTATGATCACAGGGAGGCTGAATGGGAACATGCTCATGTGCCAGTGACTAGAACCTTTGCAGTTGCATCAGATCCCATGTGGACCAATCTTCTCTAGCCTGATAGCTGTCCTGTTCACACAAGTGGATAGAATATACTCAAGGGAGTCAACATGGAATCCAGCAGACAGAATTTAGCCATCACCATGGGTGGGGGTAACTCAGTTGGCTTCTTCATAGCCTGACTTTCCAACCCTCACCTACAATTTCAATAACCATGTGCTTCCCAAAACATGCTTGTACTCACCCTGGAATAGTTCTCCTTTCTACCCAATAATAAATGGTCAGGAACAGTGGTTGCCCTTCACCTGGGGAGGGATGGGTTGCCTGTGATAGAAATGTCCCACGGCTTCTCGTGGGTGGTGGCAATGCGGTGTACTTATTTTACATATTTTCAAGCTGTGCACTGAGCATGTGGACATTGCACATAAATTATACCTCAATAGCAAAGTGCAAAATCAAATGGATGCTTGTCTAGTTTCTTTGCCAACATCCTGTGACTCTAGCTACTATGAATGGGTTATCCTGAGCCACTCATCTTGGTGGGCACCAAAGGCTGCCAGGCTGAGCACCAAGGTGAGCCACCAGGCAAGGCCCTTAGAGATCAGTTGGCCACTTTCATGTCTTCATGTGGAGATACTTTTAGACATGTCTCCCAAACTGCCTCAGGGCATTTTATTAATGTCACATTTCTTCCCTTTCTCTGTTGCAAGAACATGTTCCAAGGTCAAAATTAGTCGGAAAGAATGTCAGTCAAGTGATGTTCATAAACCCACCCAGTGAGTTTTATGTTCCATACATAATCATGAAACAGAACAGAAACAAAAAAGAAAGCCACGCTCATTCTAGGTGAGCACTTGGATTCCTTTTTCTCTTTAACCCCACATCCAAACTATGAATAATTCTTTTCAGAGTTTGCTGCTCTCCCCTTATCTTTGGAAGAAGGCTTTGGACACTAAATTAGCCATGACTAGCATTTAGGTGAGGAGGACAGCATAGAAAGTTAGAGTACGTTTGTTGTTTTAGGGTTCCCCATTTGCTTTGGAGGTGGGTCAAACACTGAAACCCCAGCAGCAGTGCCTGTCCAGAGAATGGTTTACTCTCCAGGCCCCACTCATGTAAGTGCCTCAAGCCTGGAGTTTTATGAAAAATAACAATAACAGTGATAATAACCAATATTTGTGAAGTAGTCATATTGTGCTAACTTCCTCACATATATTTTCTCTGTGAACTAGAGCTTCTAGAACCCAGAAAACATGACCAACTTTAATAATTTTTATTATCATGATCACTAACTAGCTATGCTTGACTGTGCACGAACCCTTTGGAGGAATGATTCATTTAATTCTCACAACCAGCCCTTTCCTTTTACAGACAAGGGGGCAGAGGCAGGGACAGGTTAGGTGATTTGCATGAGATCACATAGACATAGGCATCAGGCACGTGTGGCCCCCCAAAGCCACTTCAGACTGTGTTTCTCAGGGTGTGGTTGCTGAAGCCATTTGAGGTACTTATTTCCAAAAGATCTTAGTGGCAATGTACACCTACTCCATCACATCAGGTAGCAGGCCCAGGAATCTACCTCTGAAACAAGCTCCATGGTGACTCACTGGACATTGGCATTTTCAAGCCAGCAGCCTCCACTATAACTCCTCTCTGTGCCCAGCCCAGCCCAGTACTTCTACATGTCTGTATTGGGAGGATGGATGGATGTGGTGGGGTAACTGCCCAGGTGCAGGCAGTGACCAGGTAGCTCCAGGCCTAGGCACTATACACACAAATGTCTAGCTAGGCTTGGACTTAGCAGTGTGTCTTACATAGGACACAACCAGAGCGTCAAGATTTGAAGAAGAAGAAAAAAAAAAAAAGCACAAAGACACTTTTCAAAAACCTAAGAAGGAAATGGTAACTTAAGAAATATGTTCAGGATGGAGAACGCTCTTAGAAGAGCAACAAAGGCTAGGAGCAAGAGAGGGATAGGGGTCCTCTCCAGGGCCTGGGTGACAGCTGAGCTGGGCTTGTGAGAACTAGGGACAGCCCTGAGGTTCTCTGGTTTCCCTGTCAGGCTGGCAGGTTATGGGGGAAGTAGGGCCATCCCACCCATGATTCAGCTGCTGTTTCAGTTCCCTTTTCTGGGCACAATCAAGTACTTGAGGCCTTGATGAGGTTAACCACAGGAAAACCACAGGAAAGTGGCTTCAAGGCAGCCAGCCTGGCCCGGGTGGGAAGAAGTGCAGTCTTCTGACCTCAGGGCTAACGAGGGGCAAGGGATACAGGTCAGGAGAGAGGATGGAGATTGCAAGAAGCTGCCCCTCTCCTACCAGCCTCTGGTTTTCAATCACACTCCACTCCATAATCATAGTACAGAATCATTTAGCAAGCTCTGCTGTATAGGGGCAGGCACCATGTTGGACAAGTGACATTTCTTCTCAAAATGCCTTTTCTTCAAATTGAAGATTCATGTTATTCTCCTCTAGCTATCAGTGATCCCAGCACCCAACTGACAAAAGTCCCAGAATTAAGTCTTCATCAGCTCTGTAGTTCAGGTCTCTCCTCTTTGTTTCAATTCTAATTCATTTTCTATCATGTAATGAACACTTGGACTATGCTCATCACCATGAGGGGTGGGTATTAAAGGCGTAAAAGCTAGAGAAATGCCTGCCATATGGGGTAGATGGCCCAGAGACTCAGAAGGGGTCCTCACACACTTTGCAGGCATCTGAATCACCTGGGGAAATGGTCACAACACAGCTTGCTGGGTGGGTCAAGAAGGTCAATCGTAGGTGGTGCCTGAGATTTGCACATCTAACAAGTCCTCCACTTTGAAAAATCATTGGTCTAAATGAGCAACTTCCAACCTTGCGTGAGGATGCACTACAGCCTCCAGAGAAGTTTTCTCATATTACACAAGACAGTCTCAGCACCTTAGAGACTGGTAGGGAGATGGGTAGGGTGAAACTGTCCACAGCCACCCATTTGACAAATGTAAGAGCAATGTAAATTCACTTAAAAGAGGTAAGAATTTCCGGACCACCTTAACAGCATCACCCAAGAAGTATTCACAAGGTTCCTGACTTTGGGTTGATCTATGCAGATATAACTCTTTGCCTTGATCTCACAGAGGAAGACTAGAAAGTTGCCTTCCTCCCAAGGCTATAGGGCTAAGGGGAAGCAGAACAGAATTTAAAGCCAGGGCTCTTGGAGTTTAGATCTTCAGCTCTTCTGAAGATGGTGAGTATAACTTCCATGCTTGCTTTTCATATATCACCAAATATGAAAGTCCTTTTTCCACACCTTCTTAATTTGAAAGTAGGAAGCATACATTAGCAATGCACTAAAACAGGGGTCAAAGAATTGTTCTGTGAAGGGAAATATAGTAAATACCTTAGACTTTACTATATAATTCCTACTGAAGCTACAAAAATGTGTCATCATTGCATGGACATATTCTAGACATTATATAAATGAATGAGGATTGGCAGTATCCCAATAAAAGTTTATTTATAAAAATGGGCAGCGGGCCAAATTTGTCCTGCAGGCTCCAACCATTGCCCTAAAAGACAGATGTTGGAAAGATAGACCAGAGGCCTCAAAAAAGACTGGGGCTTCTGGCTACAGCCAATTCCAGGACAGTGTGTTTTGGCTGACTTCAGAATTGCTCTGTTTGGCATGATCTATGCTGTCTAAGAAAAATCTCAAAGTGCTGCTAAAGCCGGAAAAGATTACCTGAACACCAGGGCTCCATCCCGGAGGCCGAGAGAAATGAAGTCACTATTGGGTCTCATAGGGCCGTCTCCCCTCCACATCAGCAGGCCATCCCTGGCAGTCGTCTTAAACCTCATAAACACATTTGATCTTGATCCTGACACCCTGGAGGAAATACACAAACAAGTCTATGAAGTCAACTACCAACATCTGTTTCCGAGTAATCCTAGTTTGGCCTGCCAGCCCCAAGCAAGCAGCTGTGGGGATAATCTGACCTTTCTGACACATATGTACTTCCAGGGGATAGAAATACCACCACCAGAGTCACACCACCAATCTAAAGAGCTGACTGCTCACTTGGCAGCAGGATACCCCCAGGTATGGTGACCGCCAGGTCCCTGTACTTGTGGAGTCACAGATTAGCAAGATTGTGGTTAATGCCACAATCCCAGGGTACATCCCCAGTTTTCCTCCTTTCCTGTCCTATTACTCAAGGCCCTTGGAAACTGCTCCCCACTCTCCAACAGAAAGTGGGCTTCCTAATTACCAAGAGGCTCATCTCAGCAGTTGCTCTGGGCAGTGATCATGGTGGTGGAAGGTCAGCTCAGGCAATAGCTGTCTTTAGGGGCACATGTGGACAAGGTGACTAGACAGGAGTAGGGTGTCAGAGAAGATGGCTTGATAAGATAATGGTCTAGAAGGGTGATGGGCCAGAGCCCCAAGGAAAGTACAGAAGCCAAGGACAACAGGGTATTCAGGCAGAATGCTGGGCTCTGGTTATACAGCATGACTGGGATTAGGGCCACATGCTTCTGTGCTTTTATCAGTTCTTGAGAACAAACTAATTCAGAAATTCACTCTGACTATAGTGATCAGTATTTCATCTTATATCAGGAAGAGAATCAAAGGTAAGATAGGAGTAAACATAATTTCATATTGTTACTAATATGGCAGTATTAGAAAAGTTTCTCTTTCTGTACTCCCATCACTTGTACCATCCTTCTGTCTGGAACTACAGAGTGCTTTCAATAGTGCACATGGATAGGCTTTTGTCTAGGCTTCCCAGGGCCTGGCCAGAGACTACAAAAGACCAAGTTTGCTTTCCCATGCAAGTCTCAGGGTGGTGAGGAAGGCCCCCAAGTCAGGTGCAGAGCAATCCAACCTTGGTCACTGCCTAGAAACCTGCTAGTGTGCTAGAATATTTCCTCAACTTCTTCACCTTTATTCCAGGGTCCTTCCCACACTTAGATGCTTTGGCTATCTTGAATGGTATAAGACAATCAAGATATTTCAATTTCTCTGCCAGTGATTGGGTCAGGAATGGGCATGCAGCCCACTGTTATTCAATGAAACAGAGAACATTTACAGGAGCATTGTGGAAAGACTCTTCTTTTGAATGAGTCATATGAGAAATGCAAGCCTTTTTTTACTTTCAATGGATATTGCCCTGTTTTATAATCATCTAATAATTATCCTAGGGGCAGCTGGGGAATGAGCTGAGGACAATAAGACAAACATATGGATGAGATTTGAGTCTTGGATGATACAGTTGATTCTCTGAGTTAATCAGCCCAGCATCTAGTCTAAGTCTGAACTCCTTGTTACATGAAATAATGCATACTCTTCTGTTTAAGACATTTTAAGCTGAGTTTTCTGCTACTTCACACCGAAGGCTGAAATAGACCTACAGGTTCACACACATGCATATGTACTGATATACACATGCGTAAGCATGCACGCACACATACCAGCTCTGATTTGGGGCTTCCCCATCTTGTACTCTCACCAAACCCCTCAACTCCCCTCTCTCTAGCCACCTGGTAGCCTCTCACTAAGCACCAGAGGCTGAGGACTTGGGCCTCTTTCACATTGTGACTGCTTCCTGGGTACTGAATGACCTTCCATCTTCAGAGGAAAAGGGTTAAAGAAGGAAGAGGGTCTCTCCTCTCTGGACATGCATTTTACCTAAGTCCTGTGGCCAGACAACACAGATAAACATGAGCTGGGATTAGAGAAATGAAGCAATGTCTGTCTGGTGTGTGTGTTCAGAGTTAACTGGAGACATCCAATGCCCTAGAACATTTAATCTCAATCACCACCAAGTTCTGTCTTAAGATTAGATGTCTTTAGCTCAACGATTTGCCCTAGTCTGCATCTAGTTCAGATGCAGGCAACCTAAAGAGGAAGGAAAGTTCTAGAATGATTGTGCTAAGGGTTGGAAAGGGGATGGCACAGGGGAGGGAAAAGGTGTCAAAAGACATGAAGGAGTTTTTCAAGGGCCAGACTTGCCCCTTGCCACACATGCAGACTGCTCCAGACCAAGATCTGTGACTGCAGCCCAGCCCTGGAGCCTCTGCCTCCAGAGACTAAAAGCTGCAGCTATGACTTGGGCATCACCGCATACCAGGCTTGTGTCCATATGAAGTCACATGAAGCTAAGTACCCCTCCTCACTGAACTAACCAAAGCCTGAAGAAGACATTAAACCTTTGTTGGTCAAGATGTATGGTAGGTACTGACCTGGCAGGAAGTGGATTGGGGCTGCTTGTCTGGTTGGGGAGCAGCAGAGCCCTTCCACAGCTGGCCCCAGAACAACACAGCGCTAACTGCCCTGCTCAGCAGGGAGCCAGAGTGGGGACCCTGGATGCATGAGCCACAGATTCTCTCTGCTTCTCACGCCTGAATGCTACAAACCCAAGGGATGGATCATGTTACTTTTCCAGGCCCTTTGACCAGAAAGGGTTTGGATCAGAGGCTCCTAACAGGGTTGCTTGAAAGGCTGATGTTTTCAAATTTAGTTGGGTTTTTATTTTGTTTGTTCTAGTTTCTATGTTTATTTTGTGTTTTTCCCCCTGAGGCTATGGCCTTATTAGAAAATTATCATCTGACCTGAAAGATAAGGAAAATGCCTGGAAAGATATCAAGAAATTTATACCCAGACAGATAAGGAAGGTACCCCTAAAGCTCATTACCTCTTGAGGATATTTGGATTGTCATATGTCAGGTAACTGCGGCCAATAAACTGAGGGATCTCGATGGCTTCTGTGATGGCTAGGACAGAACAGAAAATGGAGGTTACATGGCATGTGACTCTCTTGACCTCTGTATTCACACATGTGGCAGGAACATACCAAGAAAGTCAACCCCTGGAATTGAGACATTTAACAACTTGTCAACCCCTTCCTCTTGGCTGTACATATACTTGGCTGGGTTCAGGGTGGCCTGGCCTCATGGCCTGGCATTGGTTTCTCCCAATTTCCCCTCCTTGGGGGCTGGCAGTCACTGTCAGTGGCCTCAGCACTACTAAGTAGACCTTGCCATGTGCCGAAACTTGAACTGTTCCCAGTGATTCTTGGAAGCAAAAGAGTATGGTGTGGGCCATACGGGGAGCAGCTGGGGATAACCCCAGATCTTTGCCAAGGTAGGCAGAGAGGACAATCTCTAAACAAGGCCCAGTAGGATTTCTTTATTTAAGGATAATCTTCCAAACCCCTTCAGCTATGACCTTGAGAGACTGGAGAAGTACAGTGAATGAGACTTCAATTCTTGAGTTTATAAATTACCTTCCAGTGTGAGATTTCACAAGTTCTTCACCATGACCTGATGAAGTAACAGGGAAAGCAAGGAAAGGGAGGCCTGAGCACCCCCATTTTACAGAACAGAAAATAGGGCCCGGGAAGCATCAAGGATTTGCCCAAGACCATCAGCTCAAAGAGCAATAGACTATGGACCAGATTGGCTTTCCTTAACGCTCATTCCTGGCCCCCTCTTTGCTTTCCAGCATTTTAGAAATGAATTTCCTTCCCCACAATTTCTTATCACTTCATTTTTCCAGGGAATGGCCCTTTTACATGCAACTAAAGAACATGGTAAGCAAAGTGTTCAGTGTCACAAATTAGGATGGGTGAGGGGATTTCTACTAGAGAGATAACAGCAATATCTCTTTCCTTTCTGGAAAGATACAGAAATAATAGCTTAAAGAAACCAAGGTAGAATAAATGTCATTTTTGCAAAATGAGAATAAACCAGTTTATGAAAAAACTAGCTTCAAGAGAAAATATGGTTGATGCAAAGAAGGCACCACCCTGAGGACTCTAGAGAGTTTAAACTTAACTTTTATTTGCTTGTCTATTTATTTTTTATTTTGGCAGTTACCGGGGTTTGGACTCAGGGCTTGTGCTTGCTAGGCAAGTGCTCTGCCACTTGAGTCAGGATCCCAGCTCTTAAACTTAACAGAGCAGAGGAAGGGGGAGAAAACTCCATGACAGTGAGCCTCTAGGAACAAGCTCCTATGTACTATGTCATGTTCCCAAAACTTTTTCTAAAAAAAGAAAAGATGAAAGAAAGAAGGGAGGAAGAGAGGAAAGAAAGATGAATGAAAACATGAAAAGCAAAGAAAAATAAAAATTTAAACTATTTAAGAAATTGCTTTGTTTTCTGAAGCACTGTGGCCTCGGACAAGGACCTGCCAGAGTGAGGACATATTAGAGACAGAAAAAAACACCAGCTAGGTGGTTAATCCAAGTAGAAGGAAAGGGGGGAAAGGAAGGAAGTAGAGAGAAATTATTGGGATGCAAAATGGCCAGGGGACAGGAAAGGAGCTTAGTAGGAAGACAAAAGGAAGAGTGAAAATGAAGAGAAAGTTGAAACAAGAAAAGGAGAAAAGAAAGTGGGAAAAGGAGGAAGAGGAATGAAAAGAAAAAAAAGACAGGTAGACAGGCAGTCTCTGGGCAAGGAAAGGAGAGGAAGAAAAACTGGGAAAAGGGAAGGAGAGGAAGAGACCAGAGGGAGGGAATGAGGCCAGAGGGAGGGAAGTACAAAGGAGAAAGGAAGAAGGGAGCACAGGGAGGGAGTCACAGTGCAAAACCAGATGAGGCAGATGGGAGCTCTTGCTGGGGTGGCGACCCCTCACTAAGGGAAACTAATGCTGGGAAAGAAGCAAAGAGTTCCAAGGTGACTGACAGAGGAGTCCATCCTGGGGCTAAACAGAACCAAGGAGCCCCCAGTGGGCTTGGCTCACCCCTGGATGAGAGGTACAGCCAGGGCCCAACCCTGCTGTTTGGTCTATAAGCCTGTGGCCAACAGCCATCACAGCTCAGGACTCCATTTTATAGTCAGGATGTGCTTGTCACACGTCAGCTCTGCACACAGAGCCTCAGGAGGTGCCTATCTGTGGGAGCCATGTCTAACTGCCTGCTAGACCCCCAGCACGGGCACCCACTGAGGTCCAGCTGGGAGATAGGCCTGCTCCCAGGGCTCATGTTCTTGATGGAGATTTCCACCACCCTAGTGGGAATATCTAAACCTCACACCACTCACCCCAGCTCCCCTCAGTGTGTGGTTGGCTGCACTGGGCCCACAGCCTGGCCAGAGCTCCCCAGGCAGACTCTGGCAAGGGCCCAGCACTTGGGACTCTCACAGGACTTACTATACTTACTATTGAGGCAGTAGTTCCCACACTCTGCCAGTGCCAGCATGAAAGAGAAAGGGAGAATCGGCTCTCACAGTCATTGTACAGTCTCAACTGCTTTGGTCACAGGTCACTTGGAACCAGCCTTGCTTCCCTCACAAAGCATTGCAAGGGTCCAGAACGGAATTTGAATAGGAGACACAGCAGAAACCCCTGGAAATTTCCCAGGCAGGATTGCTATCAACTCACTACTTCCCCTCCCCCATTGTGGCTTACTGGGAGCGAGGGTGGCGGTGACAAGATATTCATAATAAGTTGCCCAAGGTCTCTGACGCCCCCTCACCTTTAACTGACAATCCATATTTCTTCTAACCTGGAAAAACAGCTCCTTACTAAAGAGCTCCTCACCTGGTCATTGTTTTGGCTTTTCTTGGCTCTAGGCTTCATGGGTAAGGAATGATAAGCAGCTGCTATCTCTTTTCCTCCTCAGTGGAAAACATCACCCTTCTTCCCACCCCATCGTCCTTGGCAAGATTCTAGAGACCTGGCTATTTTTGTGATTAACAAAGAGCAAGGGCACTCCAGAAATGACGCCACTACATAGGGGAGCTATGTAAGGCCATCTAATCCTTTCTGGCTCTTTCTGGTCTCTTTAAATGCTATTACGGTAATCATGATTATGCTTTAACCTAAACTTTATGCTTTTTTTTTTTTTGTATTCTTTTGTCTGTGGCAATGGCCTTGGTGATGTACTAATCTAAATGTTTTTGATCCCCTCCTATTTGTATGTTAAAGCATGCGCCATGGGTGGTACAAAAGTGCCCTCAATGAACAGCAGCAGCCAAGCCAGAAATTCTACATCCTAGACAAACAAATTTCCCAATGGAGGGACTTAAAATTCCCAATACAGAGCAGAGAAACAGCTGACTCTTCCATACACACATAGGACCTCAGGAGGAAAGGATCCAGAGGTATCATAGTCTAGCTTTCCCAGCAACCAGGTGACCATAAGCAGCATTCCTGATGGCTACACATCCTGCCCTACAGGCAGCTCTCTGCCCCATGGACAGCACATGTCCTTTTTGGACAATTTACTGTGCTACAGATTTCTTTATCATACAGGTTGAACACCTCTATTCAAAAACTCCCCAAACTCGAATGCTCCAAAATCTGAAACTTTTTGAATACTGGCATTACAGTACAGGTAGAAAATTCCACACCTGACCTCATGGGATGCCACAGTCAAAAAGCAGGCCCACTAAAAATACTGTATCAAATTGCCTTCATATGAAACACAAATGAATCTCATGTTTAGACTTGGGTCCCCTCCCCAAGAAATCTCTTCATGTATATGCAAATACTCCAAAATCTTTAAAAAACAGAAAATCCAAAACACTTTTACTCACAAGTGCTTTGGATAAAGGGTACTCAGCCTGTATTGAGTTGATTCAAACCCACAAAGTAAACACAGTTTTTCTATAGAACTAGTCCTATAAGTATAGCTAAAGACTAGTACCTAGCCCAAACACCCCAAATTTTCCACTGCTTAATAACACATCACCCTAAGAAAATAAATTCCTTGAACTATGCATAATTTATGTTTTACTAACTTGTGTTTTTATATAGTCTTTTAAAAGCACAGCCTGTATTCTTATACGAGACCAAAAAATTTTTAAATCGCCTGAATCAGCCCCAGTCACGCAATGTGAATCTATTAAACACAGCATGAAATTTCCTAAAAGCCCCCCTGTGATCAGGCAAGAACTGATTTTTGAGGACTGTGCATCCCTGGGAACATGCGCCCGGCTTTGCCCAAGGCTGCTCAATCTGCGGTATGGTAGCAGCCTGCCTGAGACGGGGAAGCACCGCCATCTAGTGGCCTGTGAGATTCTGCACCGAGCAGGCTGGCTTCTTCAATGAAGAGAAGAGGACCAGGGCTCAGATGTTCTTTCCGGAGTGACCTGTCCACTATGGGCTGGGAGAAGCCTAGGAAAAACAGCTGATCCTGTACTCCCTTCTTGGACACTCAAAACATAGCAAAATCTCTGATAAGTCCTGCAGAAGAGAGCCATTTAATTGTTTACCTAGGATTACTCGAATTTATTTGACCACAGGATCTATGTGACATTTTTCTGTATGAGAATGTGTCTGTCTGAATGTATTGGGGGAGGGTGTGTCATTAATATTCCTCAGAACTTAGCCTTTGTGCAACTGCTTTAAGGAATTAGAAACTTACTTAGATACAAGAGTTCTGAGGAACTGGGCTCCAAGATGGACAAATGGCTGTGAGAACAGAGAAAGCATGAAACAATGTCTCGAGGTGGGAGCGGTGTTCTGAGGGGGAGGTCTTGCTGGCACCCTGCGTGAGGAGCCAGGGCTTTACTCCTGAGGTAGTGCACAGAGTGCCTAGGTTTGGCCTCCCACCTGGGAGGCCAGGAGACCACCAAGTCAAACCTCATAGTTTTGTTAGCACTCAAAGTTGTGACTGGGAATTAAAAGAACTTTTGGCTCTTCCTGTCCCTGCAACAGGTTATGAGGTTGGGGCCAGTAGCTGTTGATGCTATATAGAAACTGTGGCTCCAGAATATTTCAGAAGCCAGATGGAAGCTGATGTCACCTCTGTCTGGGCTCAGGCTCTACTCCTGCCTCCAACCTCCCAAGGACAAAGAAGAATCTTAAATCAGCAGGGTGGTCTGCAGGCCCTTGGGCCCCATTCTAAGATTTGTCTGTTTCCAGCCCTGCTCTCCAGTGCCTGGTGAAAACAAGTGTCAAGTAACCTGACTATAGCTGTGAGGAAACCAGACTTGCTAAGGAGCTAGAAAACCACCTTCCTAGTGCAGAAAGTGTTCCTCGGCATGGATTGGGTAAGGGTATTTCTACATTTTGCTACACATTTAAAACACACAAATTGGTTTAATGTTGGAGACGATACTAGGTTCTTGCTTTTGAAGCATGATTTGATTATCAGGCAGAAAAACAAAAACCTCCTAACTGCTAAATATACAATAACGACTTTGATGAATGAGAGGATTTGCTCTAACAACTAAAGATGACTCCAAGCTATGAATATGTCCAAACTTTCAGTGTGTTCTCTTCTGTCTTTCAGGGACAAGGTAATTGTCCATCTCGTTCTAATCCTTCCAAGGTTTGAGAAGCCCAGTATTACAGCAGTCTGTATGCTAACTACCCATAGATACATACCTTCTGGAGCCTGGAAAAATTGTCTGAGACCTCCTTAATCCTCCTAGTCAGTATCACAGAAAAGGAAATTATGTGATGTAGGCAGTACCTCCGATATATGAACCTTCCTAGGATTTGCAAAGGCTTCCATTTCTCCAGAACTAGTATCTTGATTTTCAGGCTTGAGGAGACACTGATGCAGCATGCAGAGCAGCTGATGGTTTGTCTAGGTTTTAATCTTGCTTCTAGCCTGCTCTGCAGGAAAACCGGTCAATGCCCAGCCACTGCCCACTCCCTCAGATCTTGCCGGGAGCCCTCACAGAATCTGGCCATTGTTCCGGTAAGAACTGTTTCTCATTGCACCTGAACCTAGTCACAGAGACATGCCGCAAGCAGGTTATATCTGCTGTAGCCAAAGCTTTAAAGCAGGCAACAAGGGCTAACAAGATCTCAAGTTATCCTTTCCCTCTTCCTTTCATTTAAGTGTTCATTTAAGCCTAGACTTTATATATTGACCACTAGCGTTAGAAGCAAGCTTGAAATGTCTGCAGTAAGACGAGACAGGAAATTCACTGATGAGTGAAATCCAAGCGCAATTTTCTGAATGAGCAGGACATTCCTGAGCTAAATCTCAATAAGTACCACCTATTAGCTCAACAACAACAACAATATGCTTCTTAGAAGTATAATTTGAATGATTCATAAACACATCAATTACTCTTCCTTGTTAAAAAATGCATTTCATAATTTGCCATGTGGGTTTCAGAATTCATTTAAATATAAGAAATACTATTAAGTCTTTTTATTGGCAAATTGGTATCTTTCAGATTTTCCAAGACTACTGCAAAACATCTTCTACCACCCCATGCACCAAAATATCTACCCGTGATTTATAGTTTTCCTCTAACCGATAATTTTGGTAAAAAATCAGGAACCTGGAAACAAATAGGATATTGAGAAAGCGCATTCCTTCATAGGCTCACTGCCTTATTTCTTGCAGGCTTGGTTTTGCTTTTGCTTGTTCCTTATACTACTTCCTGCTCAGGTGAAGCCATACCGGCATTTGGAACAAGAAGGTCCACATGGGTCAACCTGATAGACATACGTGGGAGGTCCATCTAGATGCCAGGGCCACAGCGTCTGCTTCTTTAAGCGGGTGCAGAAGGAGAGCTGAGCAGAGACTCATGGCCTTTGACCATCCCTAACTTCCAGACAAGGGCAAGATGGAAAGTGAGGAGCTCATAGCACCTGCTAAAGATTTTACTTTTCCCTCCAATTGTAATAATAATGGCTAGCATAGGTTAAGTGCTTATCATGCACATCCTAAAAGCTTTGTTCGCATTGCCTCATTGGGTCTGCACCACAACCTCTGGTAGTAGACACTACTGCTACTATTATTCTCATTTTACAATTGAAAACACTGAGGCACAGAGCGGTTTGATAGCATGCAAAATAGCACTCTGCAGAAGGTTTTACATACTTTAGTTTGGAGCAACTATTGCAAAATTCATCTTTTCCCCTGTACTTGGGCAAGGCTTCTCTTTACAGCACTCAAGAAAGGGGTCAAAACTGTGAAAATGTTTATCATCCCATAAAGGCATTCCCCTTGTGGGAGTGGCTCAAATGCTTCAGTCCTGGAAACACCTGCTATGTTATGGGTTAAACTTTTGGTAAAGAGTCTCTGGGGCAGGGATGGAGTCTCAGAAAGAGCCAAGGAGATATTTACTGCCTCTTAGGGAAACATTTCAGTATTTCATTTTTTTTTTTTATGTGGTACTGGGATTTGACTAGGTACTGCCTAGAAGTTGCTAGGAAGGTACTTTATCACTTGAGCTATGCTCCCAGCCCAGCATTTAATTCTAATTAAATAATTAGAATAACTTATATGGAATCGGCCACCTAATACATTATTAAAGTCATTGATCAAAATAACCAGTATGGCCAACCATTACTGCCAGCTTTCCCTTTTAGAGTGCAAGTCCCAATATTCTGTCCATGACCTCCACTGCCTCTATGCTTGGATTCCATGTGTACCTTTCTGGCAGTGCAGGCCCTCAAAGCCCAAGGGGCAGTCACACTCATAGCCCTCCTTCCTGGGCCGGCAGGTGCCCCCGTGCACACAGGGGGCCCCCACGCAGGGGTGGGCTGCATTCTCCACGTTCACACCAGACGTGAAGTCATGCTTCATGTGGATGGTCCGGTCATTCAGGATGATCTTGGGAGAGAAAAATGTAAAGAAATTCAGGAATTGGGAAGCACTGTTACAGTCTTCTAAAGTTTCTCTGAGCACACCAACCTGGACTACACATAGTGTGGGAGGTTGAGAAAAAGAAGAACGTGCAGTCTGCTTTGGCAATTCTGTAAGGGAATAGGAATGAGAAATTGAATTTGTTCTTAGGAGTAACTGCAGAGAAAATCTCCTTTGATTGTACAAGACTGGCCACTTGAGAAGATTGGGAAGAAGTCCTGAGAATTACAACGTTCAGCAGCTCCTCAGCCTGGCCACACAGTAGAATCACCTGGGAGTTTTAAAGAAATGCTACTGCCACTGCCCACCCAGACCAATAGAACCAGAGCCTCTGAAGGTGAGATCTGGTTGTCAGTGACTTTGAACAGCTTCTAGTCGCCTGGAAAGCTGCAGCCATGGCTGAGAGTTCTGCTATAAAGCCAAGTAGGGAGAGGACAACAACAACAAAAAAAAGCAGCACAGATCTAGGAATCAAAGGAACAATCACTTTGGGATCTGTGGAGTCCAGAGAGGCTTCCTTGTGAACTTCCTTGATGTGTGCTAATATGCTATCTAATGTGCCCAAAAACTCCATCAACTGAGCCCCCTGAGTGTCCCACTCACTCTGTCATTCCCCTTTCCCAACATTTCTGAATTCCTTTCCTTACAGCATCCCCTTCCTCAGCACTAAAAAGCAAGCAGTGAACCAGGCCCCCTTAGCACTGCTGTGCGTATACTGCCCAGGGCTGGAGAGCTCCTCTACTCTTTCCTGCTTAACTCATGGATTATAGGAAGGGGTTACTGTGTTCCTAACTTTTTCAGCCCTTGACCCCAGGTATACCTTTATTTGAGTTGTTGCTGGCTTTGTAGAACTCAGAGACATACAAAATAGCTCCCAATGGCCCGGGAATTATAAGAGGTTAGCGGTGGCATTTCCTGCCATGATCCCATGTTGCCAAAGGCTTGCCTCACCCCTGGAGAGCACTGAAAGTGTTGGGAAAACACTTCTCCCCAGTCCTAAATCGGAGGAGCCTGACTCCTTCTACATTCTCCCTTTTTCATGCTGCAGGTGAAGGACATGAAACTGAGTCGAGCATGCTCAAGACAAGCCAAGACTGGCACCATCCATGGCTGACTGTGGCACAGCCAAGGACTCAGCCACTGGGAGGGAAGTTACTATGTGTGCTGGGGAAAGCAGGGGTAAGGCCTGTGAAGGGAAGACATGAGCACTGTAAACATAAGCATTAAAAACAAAATTATAAGAATTTTAGAAATTTCCCAAAACTTCCTTCTTGGGTACAGCAGATTACACTGATTACAATCCTTAATTCCATGGGTATAATCAGAGCCACAGCCTAAGATGAGAAAAGAAAATGAATCTGTACCTTCTGGATGCTGCCACTAAATGGCTTCAAGATGCCTGAGTTCTTCTTCACATCATCGTAGTTGGGGACTCCGCCAATAAAAATGTCCGTGTTGCACTTAATCTGGGTGAAGCCTCCCTGCCAATAAATTAAAACAACAAATCACAATATATCCTTAGGACAACTGTTAAGACTACCAAATGTGCTTTCAGTTTCCTGTTGGGGAACCAAATGGCAGAGATAGCCTTAGTATCTCTCCTTGCAAGAAGATCACCTACAACCTGTGAAGCTCAAAGACGGTCATGTAACTTGCTTTAGCCAATAAGACATGGCAGAAGAAAAATGAATTCCTTGTGGGCAGAAGCTTTTGCCACGCTCTCTTCCTCCTCCCTGTTCCTTCAGCCTGGGTTTCAGATGAAAACTGCAACTAACCACTGGAGCACAAGTGATATGAACAAGAACTACACTGTTGTTATTAGCTGTTGATAGTCTAAGGTTGTTTGTGACTTAGTGTAGCACAGGCTAGCCTATCCTGGCAGTTGGGATACTATTTAGTTAGCACTTGATCCAGAGTCATGTGCCTCACCAGTTTTTCAACATTGAAAAGTGGCTGTTGTCTTCAGGAATGATAAAGATGACATCTCTGATATCTCAAAAGAAAGGCAAAGCATGGTATGTGGGAGGTAGTCCTTGTGATAAAATGTAAAGGGCAGAGATTCCTCAGTTTTTCCAATTCTTGGAGAACTCCCCATTGGCTCTTCCTCCTTCTAGTGGCTTTAACTGCCCAAATTCCAATGGGTGACCTAGATAACAAGGTCTAACATGAGCCATAAGCAAAATGTTAAACCATCAAAAAAACACACACAGAGATAAGTAAAAATTTGAGATCACTGGGCCGAATGCACTTTAGGTAAAGCCATTCCTGGACCCTCAGTTCGTGGAAATGCCCTCCACTTTCTCAGAAATCTCACAATTATGTACATATCGTTAGCATAACCACCATAAAACTGCCTAAGACCTGGGTGTTCGGGGCACTCAACTGCATGGTCAGGTTGCCTACACTCAGTCTCCTGCAAGAGTGAACTTTTGCTTTTGCTTTGATAAAACTTGCTCTGTTAAAACTCCTCTGTGCATCTGTCTCTGAATTTCTGCACAAGGCCAAGAACCTACCATTTGTTTCCCCTGACTAGAAGGAGGAGAATGGAGTTTGGGGTTAGGTCACAGGTAGAGAAGAGGAGACAGAGCTCAGAGGAGCTCTGTATGTTGCAGGGAGTATTCACGGGGTCTGGATGCAGTCAAGTGGCCCAGGGAAATATTGAACAATTATAGACTAGATTGACTTCAATTCAGTAACATTCAGGCAGCTCTGTGGGTTCATTTTGTTGTTTCTGTTTGCCATGCTGGGGATGGAACCTGGAGGCTGATGCATGCTAGGCAAGCGCTCTATCACTGAGCTACACCCCAAAACCTCCCCAGGCTGAGAACACTTGAGGGTTCTTATTTGTCTAGGAAATTATTAAAGAAGCATAAGAGCTTTTAAGAATCCTTGTGGCCCAACAGAAGACTGATCTAGGCAGGAACTGTTGCCACAAACCTACAGACATCTCTCCCTCACCTTTGCTCTTACTAGTAAGAGGAAGGAGGAAGGCTGCAAGACAAGGGAGTTTCAGAGCAGCAGGCTATTCTTAAGGGACTTTGAGTTGTGGTGTCCAGCGAGTGGGCTGAAAGCCAGTTCCTTCTGGCTGCTCAACAGGCAGGGCTGCAGCGGGAACAGCAGGAGCAAACCAATGAGACCTACCAAGTGAGGTGCTTAGGTCTGGATCTGGGCTTCTGCTTGGTGGGCACGGTTTAGAAAGGCCAGCAGATCTCTGATGGGCGTTCTGAAGTCCTCATAAACATGGCCATTCTTCCAGGTCTGTATATTGACTCAATTCTGGGTTCTTGGTTTTCTCAGAGCTATCTCTTGAGCAACCTGGGGTCAGCTTTAGTATGACACAGGCTCTCAGGTGCCTGCTCATTGCCTGAGCTCCTCAAGATACACTCTAACCCTTGCCAGCTGTCTCTAGATTCTAAAGCCACTGCCACTGTTGGCCATGCCTCAACGTGGTGTGGACAGCTGGGGAGCAGAGTGCCTGGGACTCAACTAAGTTTCATCTTGCTGGGGTCAAGCTTCATACTTCCCGTGCCTGGTTACAGAGCGACCTAAACACAACTTCCCACAGTTCAGAAAGCCAGGAAGAAGGGCCTTGCTTCTATCATGTTGATTTAATTGTCATTCACTACTGTGGTGGCAACAGGAACTCTGAAGTGTGGTTTTTACCATTGTGCTGTCTCTCAGATCCTAATGCCAAATACTGTGTCCTGAAGAGTTCCTTTTTTGGAATCAAAGACCTTAACCCTACTACTTACAAACACCCCCACCCTGAGTTTTTCTTCCTGTTTTCCAGAAGATTGTAAGGCCTGGAGAGATACAACATATTAAAAAAAATTCAATGATTATGCCAATAGACAGCCAGGGCCATAATGTTAGAATACTCTGGACTGTACTAGAAGTTACTCCACTTCCTCCTTTAAAGTCCATTTCATTATCTTTCTTCCTTCTCTAGCTCCCTCCCTTCTCTCCTCTCTCCCACTTACAAATACACATGAAGTATTTTCCAGGTGTGAAGGGTTCTCACCTCTTGAAGCAAAACCCACTTTGGGGTTCTAATTTCAGAGAGGCCCTTGGTTCTGACCAGCCATCCTTGCACTGTGGCCCTTGTGGCTGGCTGGCTTCTGTTCACTTGTGTCTTTTCTTCTCTCTTCAACCAAATACCTCTTTCCCCAGTAAAAGTCTCTTTTCTATCCACCTGTTTGCTTATCAGTATACCCAAATTTTTCAATACGCTCTTTTAATCTTGCTTTTCACAGAACGAAGACCTTTGGAACCAAGATATTAGCAAATCAAAGGGTCTCTCTGTTTTGTAGGGGCTATAATTTTTTACATATGTCTAGAGTCCTACAAAGTTATATTTTAATCCAAATCTCCCTTATTATCTCTTAAAAATGTTTTTCTTTGGACATGACCTTGGAAATAAAATCATGGAAAGTTACAAACTCCAAAAGAAATTCTGTGCCGTGAGTTCATAATAGTGCTAATAATAATAATAAATAAAGCTAGATAGTACTGACCATGAGTCAGGTACTGTTGTGTTTTTCATACACAATTCTTATAATTCTCAGAACTCTGTAAGTAGGTGCTCCTGTCATCAACACTGTCTCTATTGATATGAGAATAGTAGTGAGATGAGAAAAATACAAACTAGGGAAGTCAAGTAAGCAATATGAGCTCACACCACTGGTAAGTAGTGGAGCTGGACGCTGAACCTCAGAAGTCTGGTTTTGCAGTGTGTTCTTGTCAGACATGTCACCTATGCACTGCTGGCTCTGACTCAGGATCTGTGTCCATACCTACTACATCATATACTGATAAGAACAAGGATGGAGATAAGGGGGGAAGAGGGCAGAAGGCAATTTCTGAAGTGCTGTGCTCATTAAGTATTAATTCACTTAACTCTTACAACCCTCTAAGGTCAATATTATTATTATAATTCCCATTTATAGTTACAGGATAAAAAAGTAATTGCCATTGGGGAGCTGAGATTTTAATCCCAGCAGTAGAATCTATATGGTTGAACAGTACACCATGATGCTTTTCTACCAAGATCAGCAGAAAACAGTGACCTGGTCCACACTAACCATTAAGAGAAAAGGTGTGCTCTTACCTCTGCCATTCCCTCCACTACCTTCTGTTTATCCACCTGTAAGATACCATTCTTTGCTGTGCGAGAAACACGCAGCTCATGCCACTGTCTTAGGGTGAGGGGATCTTCACTCCTGTCAAGAAAGAGGTGATGGTAATTTTATATGTCCTCTTGACTGGGCTAAGGAATGCCTAGCTAACTGGTAAGGCATTTTTTTTTTCCTGGGTATGTCTGTAAGAGTGTTTCTGGAAGAGCAGAATAAGTAAAAAGATGGCTCTCACCAATGTAGAGGGATCATCTGACCTATTGTGGACCTGAATAGAATAAAAAAGATGGAAAAAGCATGAATTTTCTCTGTCTACTTGAGATGAGACATCCATCTTTTCCTGTCCTTAGACATTGGCGCTCCTGGTTTTTGAGTGTTCTGAGAGGGATAAGAACTAATACTATCAGCCCCCTGGTTCTTGACCCTGGGACTCAGATAGGGACTTACTTCATGGGCTCCTCTGATTCTCAGGCCTGTGGGCTTGTATAGAACTACACCGTGAACTTGTCTGGGCCTCCAACTTGCAGATGGCAGACCATGGGACTTCTGTCTCCATAATTTTGTGAGACAACCCTACAAGATAAATCTTTCTACATATCTATGTGCAACCTATTTTTTCTGTTTCTCTGGAGAATCTTAACTAGCAAAGATGCAAACTAAACGTGAATTAGCATGTTACGGATAATTTTCATCAACCCATCTTTGGGGAAAGTGATACCAACTTTAGGCACCTCAATCCATTCAACAAAAAGAAAACAATTCCAGCTTAGCAGTAACAGCAGTACTAGATACCATTTATCGAGCCTTTTCATGGTTTGAACATTGCATTTATCATTTTATTTATTCCCTAAAAATCCTGAAATGTGCATATAGTGAGTCTGACATGAGGGGTGACATGAAGGCAAAATTTGATAATAATTGTGTACAAGTTTTGAAGAAAAGAAAAACAAACAAACAAAAAAAACCCCACCTATTATATGGGCTAGGTGTCAAGAACAGAGTCCTTGGTATACTGGATGTCTGCAACATCCTTTGATGGATGGGTGGATGGACGTAAGGACGGACAGATTCATGATAAAGCAAATACAGCAAGACATTAATTACAGACTACAAGTGGTGGGTATGAGGATGTTTAAAATTCTTTCAACTTTTCTATATTTTGAAATTTTTCATAACGTAATGTTGCAGGAGATGCCATGGTTTGAATTTATCCCTCGAAGGTCACGTGTTGGAAACTTAATCCCCAATGCAACAGAGTTGAGAGATGGAACCTCTCAACTTTCATGAATGCATGTATGTCACCCTCACAGGAGTGGGTTAGTGATTGTAGGACTAGGTTTCTAATAAACGGGTAGGACTGGAGGTGTGGCTCAAACAGTAGAGTGCAAGGCCCTAAGTTCAAACCCCACTGCCACCAAAAGCAACAACAAAATCTAGTGAAAGGATAGATTCAGCTCCCCTCCTATGCCTGTGGGCTCTCTTGCCCTTCTGCCTTCTGTCCTGGGGATGACACAGGATGCCCTGGCAGGATGCCCCTGCCCCTTGACCTTGAGCGTCTCACTCTCCAGAACTGAGAAATAAATCTCTGCTGTTTGTAAATTACCCTGTTGTAGGCGTTCTGTTATGGTAGCACAAAATGGACTAAGACAGGAAAGCAGATTCTATGTTCTCAGATATTGTGAAAGGATTAAAATTACTTTTAAAATTCAGTTTTTACATTGAGGTAGAAGCACTTGAAGCTTAAATGATGTTTATAGGAGTTTTACACATTATTTTTATAGTGAGGTGTGCAGAAGGAATATAATTATTGCATTTGTATTTCTTACAATGTCTAGTTCTTGGCCTTTGCTGAATTTCCCCATTATTTTTTTGGTCTTGGATCATCTTTAGAAAACCGTGAGGAATACCAATAGGCACAATTATTGAAGGGTCACCACCCCCTCATTTGATTCTTTTGCTCAGGCAAATGCTTTTGTGATTTGTCCTTAGCAATTAGAATTTAATCACCTTGGTTAAATCAATATGCAATAAAGACACAGCAGTCTTTTTTAAGAGGTCTATTTCCATAATAACTAACAGCATGGTTGTCATGTTCTTGTCCTGCAGAGGTCATTGGCTGTCAATACACTCCCTTCCTCCACGCAGTCATATCAATCACAGTTATCAAGAGCTCATTCCAATTGTCTTGATCTTTGAATCAAGTTCATAATGATTTTGACCACCTTATCCTTTTCCTAAAGTTAAATGGTTTGGCCAATTCCACAACTTCCTATAGTTCAGGCTTTCACTGCATTTCCTTAATTAAGTGGGAAGTCCTTGAAATGATTTTCAAAATAAACAACCTCTAAGCCCATTTTCCAAAGAGGCATCTGAAACCCCTAGTGATCACTGTTGTCAGTTCATCCCAGGCATGGGAGGGGAGAAGGGGGTAGATCGTGGTTCATTCCATGGAAACTCTTGGCTTATTTTCATTTAAGATTCAAGAATGTCTCTAATCACCTTTTGTGGCAGGTAAGAAAACAATAATTTACATTTAGAAAAGTTAAAAATACTTCTTGTCAAAACGGGCATAGAGCTATGAAAGAGAAATGCTGGACTTCTAAGGGTGCAAGTGACTGTGACCCCACAGCTGGAGTTGCCACTGCAGAGAAGCAGGGTGGAGATGGCAACACGTCCAGGTGGGGGTTGATGAGGCCCTGCCCTCCCTGAGCTCTTTCTGGTCACTTCTTACCTAGAAGAAACTACTCAGAGTACAAGGTGATCATCAAGATGTCTTCCTTCTATACTCGACATACAGTTTTAAGTGAGCTGCTTAGGCTATTTTGCATAATCATATGTAAATTGAATCAATTAAATACCCAGAAAGGTTGTCTTGAGATATGGGGCATTTCTGCATAACCAGAGGTACAAAAATGTCTGTCCATTCCCCAAAGTGGGAGGTGTCACTAATGTGTAGGAATTTAGTCACAAGGGCAAAAAACAAACCATCCTTTTTAAGAATTGTTGAAACAATGCAGAGAGAATTTCCCATCAACCATGAAAAATGATGAGCAGTTAAGGACAGTGTAGTGGCAATAGCATCTTATCCACACAGTCCTAAAAATGACAGGCTAGCAATCTGAACAGTATTGAACACAACCCACAATTTCCTTTAAAACATCAATGGACTATCTGATAGTAAAACATCCTACTGAGTTTCAAAAAGAAGTAGTAGACAAATGTAGGAATAAGAACACCTGCAGAAGATTGGTGGCCCTTCGGCTTGAATATTAAAGTTACCACGAAAGAAACACAGTAAGAGGGAGACAAACAAATAAGAAAAACATCTTCTCCTACCAACCACAGACTTCAAGGGGTTAAAAAAAAAATACTGACTCACCGTACAGGAACAACCTATCTGTGAAGTAATGTAATAGTACAAACTAAATAACACAAGGAAAGTTTTGGCTGTGCAAACCAATTTTATAAATCTCATCAAATCTGTCAGAAGTACCCATGTACTGCTATGCTATTAAAACCACTCATCACATACCTTCCCTGAGTGTACTGGTCAGGGAATAAGTCTTCGCATTGAATAGGTCATTGTAAAGTTCCTTTATAGGATAAACAGTAAGGTATTTGCTAAACTACTTGCCATCAAAGAACTAGCTCAAGAGGAAAGTTAAATTTTAAAGTGAAGTCACCTTGAACATTCTTGTTCATTAAATATTTGTTGATATATTTTTTTACTAGATGGTTTGTTGAGTACCCATCTTGTGATGCTCTGTGTAAGGTGCTGATTGGTTACAATTCATCAAGTGCCTGAGGTTAGCATTTCACAACCTCAGGTAGAAACAGAAGCAGTCTACCCCCATGGGAAGAAAGCCTATGGTCCACAGTTTAAAGAATTGCTACAAGCTAGGTAGTTATTCGGGGAAAGGAAACCTTGCATGCAGGAGAGCACTACCTAATGGAAGTCCAATTATCATTAGAAAGCAGGACAGGCTTCCAAAGGTAACCACATAGGGAAGACAGGAGAAGGGTAAGGTGTTTTGGTAGCAATTGACTTTTTTTCCAAAGTGGTACCTTGGCTTTTGCAGAGAGGAGGTTTCAGAAAGTCTCAGCCCTCACCTGAGAATACCAGTCCCAGAACCACAGTCAAAGCGGAACTCCACATGTCCCCCTGCCATGTTGATGGACAAGAAGTCCTTGCTGCCTGTGTCATAGCTGTACAGGAGGATTCCATCCTCCGAGTCTGGCCGAAAGGTGATCTCAAACTCAGTGAAAGAAAGGTAATGCTGAGGCTCCAGGGGCCAGGGCGTGGCAGCGTAGGACCTCAGAGACGCGCTGAAGCGAGGAATGGTCAAGGTGAAGGCTAAAGAAACAAGCAGGATGTTAGAAATTCCTGTATACCCAAGACTGGCAAGCTGTGTGCCCAGAGCTGTGTCCTCTCTCTCCTGGGCACAGACCTACACTACATTTCCCAGCTGCCCTGCAGTCAGGTGGGAGATGTGGCCAAGTTCTGGCCAGTGGAATGGAATGAAAGTATCCCAGGCCTGACCCCAAGACTTCCCTCCACCCTCCCTGTTCTCTCTTTTCTCCCATGCTGACTGAATGTAGGACATAGGAGATGACTGTAAGATCCTAGAAGAGCCACTTAGATGGTGGAGATCTTTGTCCCTGAATGCTATGGAGCAGGACTGCCACACCAGCACCACTGACCTGCGGTGATTTACAATATGAGGAAGAATCAGCCTTTATTCTGGAAAGCTACTGCACATACAGCCACTGCTGCATGGGCTTACCCCAACTCATGTGTACTCCTCTAGGGACATGAGGTTTGAGACTATAGTGTTAAAAGAAAATTCCCCAATGTGGCACCTTCAGGTCCAAACCTGAACCATTCATAGAGGAATCTGATTACTTCTGTGATATTAGCCCCAGTTTTGTTTGCTTTTAAGTTTTGAATTCTTAAAAAAGACATTAAAGTGTGCTCAAGCCTGCATGGTTGTGCAAAATCTATAAAACTTTCATTTATTATTCATGTGTGTTTTTGTGTGTGCATGTCACATGTCTACACACATATATATACATATATATATATTTACCTAATATATGTTGAGGGGTTGGATAATTCAGCAGAATGATACAAAGAAGGAAAAATGAGAGCACTTTTTGTCTTAGTAAGTGACAATGTTAACTTCTGTGCACATCTTCTCAATCTCTTCTCTGAAACTATCAGATATTATAAAGACCATAAGCGTAAATGCTTTAAATTCAGTCTTGTACAAACCAAGTAATGTAGGGTTTTTAAAAGTTACTTGAGCACAAAGAGGAGTCTACCCATATCAGCATTTAAAATAACATCTTTGGTTGGTTGAAACTTTGGTGCTCTGAGACACTTCCATCCCTCCAACAAAGCAACCTCAATCCCATAAAACTATATGGAGCTTTGTTTAAAAGTACACTGATGCCAAGTTACATGCACATGAATTAATAGGCAGCTAGAGACTGCAATCAACTTGCTTCTTTCTCACCAGCTTCACAGTGTCGACCTTTGAACCCCAGAGGACACAGGCAAATGTAGGAGTCGGCTTTGATAGCTGCACAGGTGCCACCGTTGATGCAGGAGGCTTCATCACAGACTCCACTGCTGCATTCCCCTAAATACAGAGCAGGAAGCACAAAGTCAGGTTACCAGGTGTGCCCATGGCACAAGATGCCACTGACAGCCATACCAGCCACTCACTGGCCATGCCAACCACTCATGGTTCTAGATGAGTAGAGCAGACCACCATTCCCACTGATTCGCCCCTGCGGGCACCAGTAGACCAGCTTTCAGGATAAGGGGAACCTGCTCCTCACTTTAATTTGATTTTGGCTTGTCCCTTATGAATAGCCAAAGAGACTTTAAAAACATGATGGAGGCAATAAATCAAGTGATAAACTGGTGGGCAATTTTATGACCATGGGTGGGGATGACTGAACTGTTCCTGCTTTAATCCATCTTTATGTTGTTCCCGCAAGAGTGGATTTCAATTCCTCCAACGTCAACAAAGTGTTTATGTTAAAAGTATTCTAATGTGTGTGACCCCAATTAGCTTAAGTGCGACTGTCTTGTTGGTTCAAAGCCTAGACAAGCAAGATAAGCACTGAAAGAGTTAAGCAGCTGCCTAAGCTCATTAACTCCTGCCCTGGGGCTCCTGTCTGGGGCAGGAAGACAGGGAGGGGCTCCTCAGTGCCTTAGCATGTGGATTCGAGAATCCTGTTTCTTTTGTCACAGGAGTTTTATGAAAGACAGGACCATGGCCCATTGTGAACAGTGCTGAGCAGTTCAACACTGCATTGGCTCATCCTCTACCACAGGTATCACAGAGCTCCCTGAAGGTCATATTTTGTCATTTTCAAGATCATCAGATAAGAACTAATGGTTCAAGTGGTGGAGCACTTGACTAGTAAGAGTGAGGCTCTGAGTTCAATCCCCAGTATCACAAACTAAAAATAAAACAACAATAACAAAGATGAGGTAAAAACAAATTAACTTGTCCTGGGCTGCTGTTTTTTGGGTTTTTTTTTTTTTTTTTGACTTCTCTGAACTTCTATATAAGAAAAAGACAAATGAACCATAATCACCATAATCTGGCCCAGAGCTATTAGGTGAATAAAAACACTTTCTCCAGGAATGGAAGAGAAGGGGGCATTGTCTCTGACTGGGCAGAAGACTCGCTTCAGAGACTGCTAGAGAATTTAATTAAAGTCTTCTGGATTCTGTGCCAACCTGTTCTCTGTGAATTATAGCTGGTGGCCACCGGAAGTTCAGACAGAAATGACTATGGTCTCTCTTCAGCCACAGCTCTGAGAGCATGGCCCTAGCTTGCACAACCTCCACAAAGACACAGGCTTTGATCCGAGAGCCAAAATCTCACACGGCCCCACATCCCACATTTCTGTTGGTCTCACAGGAAGAGTGGGGTTCTTAGGTTGTTTTTAGATACATGTGGAAGAAATCATTTCCCAAATCTGCATTGTAACTATTTTTAAAGAGGGGTTGGGGGAGAAGATCATGAAAGCCAGCCAAAAGTTTCCTAGCAATGGCATTTGAGGTCCACTGATGAGGAAAAGAAATCCTACTTGGAGGTAAACAGAGACCAGACAGGGTGACAGCAGAGGAAACAGAAAGATTGTGAAGCATCCGAGAGACAGAGAATCAGACGCGCCTCATTCTAAAGGCTGAAGGTGGATGGTGGCACCAGCATGATGTTAAGATGCGTCCCACGAACAGTAAAGAAATGAGGGACCATGAATGGGAGCAGAGGAGGAGTTTGCTTTGACTCAATTTAAGCATAAGGTGACTGTGCAGTCTACTGCTGGAAATGTCCATGGCCTTAACAGAAAGGAGAGAGGTTCTCCAAGTTCCCAACCCTTAAGTAGGAAAGAACAATACAAATACAGGGAATCTATGAACTGAGATGGGAAAAATATGACACCTTTATTTTCCCTGCCACTAACCGAAATTCAGTGTTTCCTTCAACTTTTTTTTTAACTCCTTATTGTTGTCTTGGTGCTGAGGTTCAAACCCAGAGCCTTGCTAAGCACACACTCTACCACTGAGCGACACCCTCAGCCCATTCTTCAACTAATGAGGCAGGGAGCATACTTCTATATCAGCAGTTCTCATGACTTGTGACCAACAAATCTCACAATTGTCACATTCCATTTGCTGCAGATATCCTAAAATATCATTTCTGCTCATCACTACTTTGAAATAATGTAGTTATTTCACCCACCATTAAATAATCCTGGCTTTCATGCTTTATAAAGAAGCAATATATTATTATAATGTCAAAACTTTAAAAATGTTTTAGAGCTATATGTCAATAGAATTGTTTCCCATTATAATGCAGTGTGTATTATTTTGTGCTTGACAAAACAACATTCCAAGGTCCATAGGTTTAATCAGACTACAAGGGGTCCATGGCACAAACAAGTAAGAATTCTTGGTCAACTGAGAAGAGAATCTTAGTGATATAGTCCCAGAGAAGTACGGAAGGTTGGTACAAAGTGAAGAAAAGGTTAGTTCTGCAGAAAAAAGCTTTCAACTCTGAGCATGGGAGCAAAAGGAGTGATGGCCAGGTCATGCAGACACATAGCTGGCAGAAGTCATTGTCAATATATCCAATGGCTTTTATGGCTACCTGCTATATAGTGGCTGTTGTGTAGGTTTGGGTTAGAAGATGGCGAGGACCAGAAGAGAATCAGACGCCTAAAGAAGAGAAAGAAAGCAGACACCACTGGGTGAGGCATATTAAGGAGGCCATGACACTGAGTCACCTCCCTATTCCCCCACCCCAGATCCAAAACTCAGGCCTATTTTTGCCCCTACAATCTGTCAAATCTGTCCATGTCTCTACCACCACTACCTCCTGGACCGACCATCATCACCTGTCACTAGGACTATTGTGATCCCAGCTCATCTACAAGGACCACTCAACACTTCTGGCTATATACAGCTAGAGGATCTTTCTTCAGACACAAACTAGATTATGTACCTATCCAACTCCCGTTGGAAAAAGCCTGGAATGTCCTTGCTCCTCTCCTCCGTCTTCGAACTTACTTTTGCTTTGTTTTAACTTCCTCAGAAACACTTTCCCTGTCCCAGAGCATAAGCGCTCCCTATCATATACTTCTTTGTAATGTTTATCCCCAATTGTCATTTTGCATTGACTTGTACGGACTGGGCTGGGATTTTGCCTGACTTAATCATTACTTTATCTCCAGCAGCGGCATTGCAACTAACACTAAGCAGATGCTCAAATAAGTATGTATTGAGTGAAGGAATGAGTCAGATTTAATAAGCTAAAGCAAGACCCATAAATTGCACCCCCCCCAATGCAGGTTGAAGCCCTAACCCCCAATGTGTTGGTATTTGGAAATAAGAGCCTTAAGGAGGTAATTAACATTACATGAGATCACAAGAGTGGGGCCCTAATCCAATCTGATTTATGTCCTTAGAAGAAGAAGAGAGTGGACACACAGAGACACAGTGGGCATGCACACACAGGGGAAAGACCATATGAGGACACAGCAGCTAGACATCTGCAAGCCAAGGAGAAAGGCCTTGGGAGAAATCCTGACCTCGAACTTCCAGCCTCAGCAGAACCTCAGCAAATACATTTCTGATGTTTAACCCACACAGTCTGTAGTGCTTCATTGCGGTGACATTCCTAGCAAATTATCACAGTCACTGAATAAATAACCATCCTTAGAATTATCTACCTACTGCCTTCAGTGATTGAATGAATGTCCTCATTGCTTTAAAAACAATCCTAGTTGTCTGCCTATTTTGGATTGGTTATTTAACATTTGCAGGTCCTGGTTTTTTCATCTGTAAAATAGGTATAATAATAATTTTTACCTTCTAGTGTGATGTATAGATGAAAAGGCAGACAAGAAAATGTTTGGCAAAGTGGTCAAGAATTAGAGTTTAATCTTTTCTTCTAAAACAGGGCCTAAGAAAGCTTTTCTACTGGACTGGGGACATCTGGGTGGAAAGGTTGAATTGTGTGTTGGTTTGCCCAATGAGCCCAGGTTAAGTTTCGGAAGAGGTCAAGCTGGCAGCAGGACACAACCAAGGGCTTGGTGCACCATACTGCTTCCATCCCCTGGTGCTTGGCCTTAGGATCCATATGTCTGCATAGCACCAACGTGGGCCCATTTCTTCCCTGAAGTATTGCATTAATCAGCTTCCTAGAACTACAGCTGGGTTGCTGTTCATCAACCTGGCCCAAACCACAAGGCAGCCCCACAAGTCCCTCCCAGGTCTCTTTGTAATCACTTACCCACGTCGGCCCCACTGAGGGCTTTTCCCAGCGGCCAGGGTCTCATGTCAATCTTCTTCCCATTAACAGCAAGTGACTGCACACAGCCTTGGAAGCCACGGTTTGTCCCTGTTGCTCTTATCAGCCAGTAAGCACTGGGAGCCCCACCAAGATAGAGAGGTGTTCGGAAGGTAATTTTACTGTACTGGCCCTTTGAGAAAGATAAACACTATCTCACTAACATAATCAAAAGTCGAAACACAACAGAATTTGATGGCCATGGTTAAGAGGTTAAGAAGTTACAGTGATGGACTGAAGGGCTGAGTTTCTAGAAGGGGACTTTGGAATGCCTGAAAAGGGATGAAGAAGGTCAGAGCCAAGACCTACCCAGCAGGTACTGGGTTACCAGCATTCAAAAACAACTTTTCTCTTTCCAGTTCTGACATCAAGTTATTGTACCTTGGATGGGTCATAGGGCTGTTCTGTGCCCCCAAAGGTGACAATACTAATTTTGTATCTATGTGGGCTAGCATCTCCCTTTTTACTCTCTGAGCCACCTTTACACTCGAGGCTGCAAGGAACTCTGGGGGAGAGGATAATTACCCTACAGATTGTGTAGCCAAATATTTTGAAACTCACTTATGGGTATGACTTTTTTTTTTTTTTTAGTGTGATTACAGTGAGGTAGGGAAATTTCCAATCTTAGAGCAAGCCACAGTCTGGATTGTAAGCATGGAGGTTACAAAATACAGGGTTGAACATTAGGTAGGACAAAATTAAGGCAACCTTGGTCATTCCTTTTTTTATTGCAGAAATATCTCATTCATTCCGGTTACAGAATAAAAACGGAAGTTAGGGAAAGGCACATTGTCAACACTTATAAAATCTCCAGAATGTAAACAAACATGTATCCTTTCAGCAACTGTTTCTAGCAAGTATAAACCCTGTATTATGTTATCTTTTCTAATGAACAGATAAGAACCATTTGTAAACAGTAGCTTGAACAGCACATATAGTACTTGCAGTGGGTTTTAAGGATTCATTGTCTGCCAGCCACTGGACATCGGCTTTCATGAGATGAATGAAATGCTTTCTTGGCTTTATTTCATCAAGAGTCTTAGAATTTGCTTCTTCTGGATCCCATCTTCACCCTTCTGGTCTTGTTCCCTAATCCCCAACCACAGCAAGGCACCTATAGCTCAATCCCTTTCTAGAACATTAAGTGTATTGTAGGAGTGAGTGGCTTTTTTTGAGGTGCCCTGGAGGCTGGCCTTTATCTTTCTCTGATGAGGTTGCTTTCAAGTCCCTAGAGCCTGCTTTGCCTGCCTATGAAGAGTAATGGAAGTGATCTGGAGTTTGCATTCCCCAAGGATAGCCCTTAACAGTTTGGGATAGCTCTGAGACATAATTTACACTCCAGCGCTTCCCTGTGGGACCAGGTTGAATCCATACTCTGAAGAACTGCTCCTAAGATTTCACTCTTGCTGATTTCCTCCTCTTGCCTGCCCAACTTCTCTCCCTTACTAGTCTCCCCAGGGAGCACTTTCCAAGTACATCCTATGCACAAGACTCCTCACCTCAGGCCTGTTTCTGGGGAACCAACTTAAAATAGAATTACTGTCTCCCAAGAGAGTTTATTAAATCTTCTGCATCTGTGGGCCTGCCTATGTGACTTTCTCAGCAAGTCCCAGTAGTACAGAGGCAAACTTCACTCTGCAAACCAATAACATTATATGCTTCTTGCAAATAAATCTTCTATCTAATGATGGAGTAGAATATTGGGATTAGAAAAGATATGAAAACTCCTCCAATCAAAGCTGCTATTGGTTGTTGAATTCTTTGTACATCTCTATCAATGATTTAGGCGAGTTACTTCTTGAACACCCCTAAGGACAGGGAACCGTCCCCTTGAGATAGTCTCTGTACACTTTTATGTGGTTAGGATCCCTAGTCTTTAGCCTTAGGGGACCACAAAGCAAATCCTTCCTCTCCAAGACTCTTCCTTTGACTCTATGACAAAAAGCCACCATCCATGCCTTCTTTTTCCCTGCTCTAAACTAAACAAAGCTCCTTCAGTAAATCATCAAAGGGATTCCAAGTCATCCTCTTATTTGGATGACTGCTCCTTGAACATGCTCCAATTTGTCTGTGGTCCTCTTAGAATGTCATCACAGATATGAATGTAAGCCTTTTAGAGGACTAGAAGTCACTATGAGCATCTAGAAAAAGAAGTCATTCACCCTTCCTAGATGCTTTACCTCTATCAGCGCAGTCCGTGCTTTCTGTAGCTTACTGTTGTTACTGCATGGCCCTGTTTGTTCATCTTTATTGAACTTCCTTCTATAAGTCATTTTCATATGTGCTATTTCTATTATAGCCCACCACCCTGTCTTTATGTTAACACTTTGGATCTAAGTTTAAAGTTTCTTTATTTCTATCAAACTTCATTTTGTCATGTTGCTACTATCATTCTGGGTTTTATATGACCCTGTCTTTTTCCTCCCTAGCAATATGGGGATCAGTGATCACCCCTGAGTTGGCATTCACTAGATTTGAATTCTTATTGTTTTGAAACCATTGGGATCCAAATTAATAATTTCTGTTCCTTAAGGAAAATTATCTTTTCCTTATTTTGGGGGGGGATGAGAAAGGTATAGATTGTCCTTTATATAACATGTCTTGCCAGCAAAGAATAGTGGAGAGCCCAGGCAGGGAGGAAGCTTGCACATAACAAAGGCTGTCTTGCTACATTTTCCCTCAAAGAATATAGATACCTGCCTGCTTATAATTATAGGTGTGGTTCCTTGGCAGGCTGCTAATTCAAACTGTTTATTCTAAACACAGTCCTCAAATTACCAAGAGTATAACAAATATGTGACTACCTCAGTGATTTGCTGAGTGACTCAGAGTTAAATTATTTGACCAATTCCTGCATTGCTGGTTCCAAATAAGGCAGAAAAGCAGAGTACTCCAAGTGCATCTTCCACAGCTACCTTCTAATGTCACCATGTTGCAGCACTCCTGCCTTTAAAGCAAGCTTTGTGTTGACACTAAGGATGGGTTCTGTGCTTCCCACATGGGCCTTTCTCAACCTCTGTCTTTGATGCCCTTGTAGAAAGAACATGTCCTTGCGTATAAGATATGTACCTGTGCACCCAGCAGCAATGAGGCCCCATGTTCAAGGCTTCTCCTCAGTAGGTGTGGGGCGGATGATAAGGCCAAGCAGGAGTCCATCAGAGATCAGTTGTGTGAGATTTCTATGAAAAATGGGCTTCCTGGAGCCCGACCAGAACTTGCATCCTGCCATTCTGCCTCGGGTCTCTTCAGTGAGACCCTCTCAGGATACTAAAGGTGGGTGCTAGTTGGGGTGGGGAGGGTGTAAGCTCACACTCACCTGGGACTGGCCTGTCACCGGGGTGCCATTGTTCAGTTGCAACAGCCCATTTAGCCCATCTCTATAGAGTGTGACTGTATGCCATGCCCCCAGTTTGATTTTGGTCTTACTTAGGATGATAGCAACCCCAGTTCCACAATTAAACCTGTGGGAAGAGGAAAAGGGAAGGAAGATGCTAGAATCAACCAGGTCAACATGTTTTCAGACACCATGAACATCACAGTTCCTGACACTATCATTGATCTGTTCAGTTATGTCTCTGATATCAAAAGTCATTTAACTCCATGCACGGAAAAAACAGATGCATCTGCCCTGTATGCATCTGCCCACTTATCCTTAATCTGCCATGGAGGCATTCAATGGAGGGTCTTTGTAACCTCATCATCTCTGCTGCTCAGAAGATGGTGGGAAGCTAAGGCCCACTCTTATCCAGAGATTGCCAGATGCTGAAAGCAGATTTGAGACTGGGAAAACTGGAGCGTGATCCCCTCTGCTTCCAGGGATTTCTCTGGGGACTCTCCTAGCTCTCAAATGACAGGCTCTGTGATATTAATAAACTGTAGAAGTCCCAGTCTTTACACCCATTTTGGCAAGCAGGCTAGCCTGCCATCTGTGTTCTGCCAGGCTCACATAAAGGTAGGGTTTCCATAGGAGGCTCTGGGTTGGGGCCAGGAGGGGGACAGAGAAGTATGCTCTGATGGCTACATTATTGTTTTTTCCCCCACCTTCTCCATGCCCTCCTTAATGGTCACTACATCTGACAGGTAGAATTTTAGTCCTTTCTAGTCAACTTCTAAACAGCCACTATGCCACTTCCACATAGATCCTGAAGTTGCTTCTTGTAAAGGAGGCATGATGGGAGTTGTCAGTATTAAGATTTGTATCATCTGCAGCCCACTTCTCATGGCCTCCTTTTCTCTCAGACCCTTACTAGGGTGGGATGAGGTGGACAGGCTTCATGAAGTTGGATGTCAGCATCGCTCAGTAAGAACTGTGGAGCCTAAGTGCTGCTACCAGCCAATACATGCCAGTGCATCTGTCCCTTCTGATCCTGGGGTCACCATCAAACTTCCAAATCATCTAGCCAAGGATGGGGGCCCATTCTGTAGCCCGAATGGGATCCTGAAAAGTCTTCAAGTTAGCTAAAATATTTTTTGTGATGAAGTAATTTAAAGAGACAATGACAGTTGATGTTTTTGAGTGCTTGCTGTGGGGAGGCACAGCTCCAAACAGGGGTATGGACGAACTCGTTTAGTCCCCTTCATATCCCTATGAGGAAATGCTGGATTGGAGAGCTCACACCCTTTGCAGAAGGTCAGGCAACAGGAAAATTGGCACCATTAGGATCTTAGCCAGTGCACAATGGAGAAAGTAAAGGCTGATGCCTATTGGTTACTCACAAACACACTCCTCCATACAACTCTTAACATTATCTAAAGGTGGCTTCCAAAGTGTGCTGGGGAAGAAATGATCTGGGCAGAAGATGCAAGCCAAAGGTTTACCACAGCCCTTGGGGAAGGTATGGATAGGTTTTAAGCCTTTGTGAACCCTTAGGAAGTTGTAGGCTCCTCTCTGCCCACGATGGCCAGCCACCAGTCCTAATTGCCACAAAGGAGCCTAGGAAAAGATTCCAGCCTTATTTCTATCACATCCACTAGAATTCCAGGAGAGAAGGGGTTTGACCTCTGACTCACTGCTGCATCCCCACCATGGGTGCTCCAGATATATTTGCTATTGAATGAAGGAATGGTGACAGGGTTCCAAAACTCAAGTTTCAGAGGTTACCCTTCAATCCTGACACTCCAGCATTTAGGAAGCTGGTCCACACTCATCTTCTACACATTATTTCTGTATCTACTGGAATCTGCCTGCATCTATCATATTCACACAATAAAGGGTAAATATAATATCAAGTAGAATTTTTAAAAAACAGAAGGGCTTTTGACAGGAGTTACCTGAACTGGAGGGAACGTCGGATGACAGCCAGAGACATGAAATCCCCTCTTCCATGTTCATTCTCCCCACAGTAGAGCAGCAAGCCATCTTCTGCCTCTGCCTGTGAGTACACAAACAAAAGCCACATGAACAATGACCACCTCCTCTGCCACAAAGCACCATCTGGAAGCACTCATGAATACCCAACCTGAGCATCCCCCTGTATGGCCCTATTTATAAAGCAGCAAGCATGTCGACTCTAGTTAATTCTCAGATCCCAGTCCCAGATCGTTTTCATTAAATAGAGGCAGTAAGTGAGAGAAGGGTCCAATCTCTGACCTGTTCTTTACTTGGCCTTATGCATGCACCTGCAGAGCCTCCCAAAATCCATGTGTGCAAAGCCCATGGTCACAGAGAGCACATTGCTTGTGCCCACCAATTTCTATTGTCACCAAACAGCATTCTATTTTTTTCCCTTCTTTTTTTTTTTTCTTCTGCTATTCATCCTTCCCTCTGGGAGGTATGCAAATTTGTTTCTTTCCTTCCATCAGGATACTACAAACAACCTAGCTGAGAACCACACTGGCTGGGTACAGATAAGGATGTGCAGTCTTTTGGACACTCAACTCTGTGTCTGTGACCTCAAGAGGGACTTGTTTCCAGACCTCCAAACCTTTTGCTTCTTAGAAGATACTGAAATGAATCACATTAAGCTGGCCACTAACTGAATTCTTATTTGCAGTTGATTCTGAACACAGCCTTCACTGGGCTCTCACAATATGCTGGGGATGTGTAGAGTACAGTTTTCTAGAGTTTCAGTGATAGCCATCACAATGAACAAAGACATCCCTGTAAAAGGGATTTTGGAATGGGGAATGCATAGCTACTTCTGAAATCCTGACCAGGGAGGAGTCACTAATGCGTTGGATGCCAACATTCTCACTGGGAACCTTTGGGTCATGCATGGTTGGTAATATACAACACTCCCCGCTCTCTGTGTACACCTGATTGTTTTCAATGTGCCCACTGTTCCTGCTAGATCTTGTGAACTAGTTTAAAGACAGACTCCGTGTTATATCGAACCTTTGATGGCTCCCCCTGCCTCTTGTGTCCTCTCCCCTTATTTTTGATGTGTCAAGGTGTCCAATAAGCACTCGTCAATGCCTAATCCCTCTTACCCTGAATTCCAGAGTGATTTGAAATGCCTGATAGGAGTTTTTCAGCGGCTCAAAGGTCACATAGGAGTGACCAAAGAACTGAGGATACTGTATAACAACATCTGAAAAGAAAAATGACAAGATAGAAAGCCATTTCCTCATTTCTTCAGAAGCAAAAATCAATACGAATCATTGCCTGATGTCACACAGTGAAAACTTTGCTAATCTGTTAAACTTAACTTTCCTTTCTCTGCTTTTTACACCTGCTATTCTCACTCGTGGGGACTTGGAACTTCAGAAATTCTTTGGAAAAATGTGAATTTTTCAGAGATTGGTACTGACTTCCCTAAAAAGAAATCAATGCCCATGAGACCACCACCACTCACTTGCCAGCTACACATTTGTGTAAAATAAGCAGGCCCAACTATTATCCTTCTTAGCCCTGCTGCCCATGTCTAGCCTGCCTTTTTGGTAGGGATGTGACAATGGTACAGATCACCTCCCCAGGTGCCCTATAGATGATTTAATGAGTGCTAAGATGACATGTTTGACACGCATAGACATAGGACAGTTCTCTCACTAGGAGCAATGGACGTTGCTTCTCACTTTGCCTTGTACAGCTGATTTAATGACCAACATTAAAGGGCCTACCCTACAAAAGGGACTAAAAGAAAACTATACTTGCATCAAAACACTGCCCTCTGGCTCTCCATAGGGCCAACCCACCACCATGTTCTTCCCTTCTTGAGGGGGCCTACCTTCTGAGCAGCCCTCGCCACCTTTGCCCAAGTTGCAATGACACCGGGAGCCCCCCCAGGTGTAGTCATTGACACAAAAGCTGTCCGCAGAGCAGAGGGCTTCATCACAGGACATGTCAAAGAGCCTGGACACCATGGCCACACTACTCTTCCCTTCTCGTTTGACAGGAGTGGGAGGGACAGCCACCATGGTCACAGGGACAGATGCTGAGGTAGGTGGAGCATGCTGGGAAAAGGTCTTTGGGTTGGACAGAGACGTCATCTTGGATTCTACCAAGAATTTCTTATTCCCTTCTTTGGTAGCAGGAAGTGGTTTAACCTAAAGCCAGGGAAGGAAAAGGGTTTAGCATAAACACAGAGTGTGGTAATGAGACTGTTTCATTTGTGGTTCTTACCTAATTTTCACATCTGAAAATGTGGCCACTGTTAATAGTTTGAAAACTCCTGGGATACAGGTGAGGTAGAAGCACTGACCCCAATTGATGGATGAAGTACCTGAGAATCCATGAGTACCTTGCCTGTATTACTCAGGAAATCAGTGGCAAAGTTGATATTATATGACTTAGTCTCGTTACATTATTACAAAGATTCATTACTTTATCAAGAAATTGTTCATTTCCTTAGAATGCCTGATTTTATTAAATTTCGCTGGTGGGAAACCTGCATGTGTTTTTGCTAGAGGGGCAGGGGGCAGGGGGCAGGAATAGAGGGCAGAGGGCAGGGGGCAGGTGTCTCTACACCTCAGCCTTCATGCCTCCCTACTACTAGTTTATGACTGCCTCTCCCCTGCAGCCTCAGAGGGGAAGCAAATGGGCCAAATTAGGTGTCAATGTAATCGTCTTGTTCAGGAAGAAAACAGGAGCCCCTGGGTTTAAGAGAAGAGCTACCTCCTCAAAGGAGATATCCAGATCTAGGTCGTCTTCAAATCCATCGTCATCCTCACTGACTCCAACATCGGTGATGTAACGAGGTCCATAGCGGCCGCTTCCTACCTCCTCAGGACCTTCACAAAGAAAAGCAGCACATTTTCCGTCAACTTAGGACATGGCTCCATTTTCCATCCTAACTCAGCCACATACAGAGCTTGCTGAATGCCGGCTTGTGTTGGAAACATCAAAGGAATTCAACACAGAGGAGAAAGAAAGCATCAATGAAGGAATAGGGAAAATGTTTCTTTTCACTAGTATCCAAGAAAATGCCAATCACTAACAGAAAAAACTGCCATTTTATACTGACAAGACTGGAAAAACAGGCCTGGCATGGTGGTACACACTTGTAATCCCAACTACTCTGGAGCCAGAAATAGGAAGACCACAGTGGGAGGCCAGCCCAGGCAAACTTAGTACAAGACCCTATCTGCAAAACAAACTAAAAGCAAAAGGGCTGAGGACATGGCTTAGGTGATATAGCACTTGCCTAGCAAGCACAAGGCCCTGAGTTCAATTCCTACTACTGCAAAAAAAAAAAAAGGACTGGCAAAACTGTGAGTTAGGTAGTAAAAAATATTACAAGGAATGGGCTCTGCAGGGACTCTCTCACCCTGACATTGGTCCTGTAAATGGGAGCAACCACTTTGCTGGACACTTGGAAATAGTTAAAATTAAGTCAAAAATGTTTATACTTTGACCTAGAAGTCCCAACCCAACCTACAGAACTGACAGAACTCATTCATGTGTGTACTTACAGATATGAAAAACAAGTTCATAACATCAGAATTTGTAATAGCAAAAATACCCAAATTCATTATTTATAAGAATACCCTGAATGTTCATCATAGAAAATGGATAAATTATAGAATGGAGTGCACGCTACACGCCATTCTAGGAATGCATAAATGAGCATTTAATGCACAAACGTTTCATCTCATGTGACTTAATGCATAAGATGCAAGTTTGCAAAAAAAGTCACCCACTTTGATGCCATGTATATAATAAAAGTCAGCAGCAAGTAAAATTTCATGTATTATGTAGGGATATTATATATGTAATTTAAACTCTTTTAAGAAAAGTAAGACAATGACAATCACAAAAGAGAGATGTGAATGAGGTGTGACAGGCAGGGGCCTTATGCTCATATTATATATGAATATTACATATTTATATAATGTTATATAACATATATGTTTTATAAATGTAAAAAATATATATTTATATATATGAAGTATTTCATTAAAAGTTCCTTAAAACAAGGAAAAGCAGTTATAAAAAACACTTCACATCCATAAAGAACTAGCACTATGTGGCATCTTGGGGATCAACCATTCCTGTCCATCTTAGGAGGACAATAATCAGAACTATGTTCAGCAAAACTCCTAGGGGACAATATGAGCCATTGTCCTCTGGGAGGGTTGACAGATCAGCATTCTTACTGAGTTGTCATTCACAAAGTACACATCACACCACCAGGAGCTGCATCCTTGAAAAGCGTGCCCCACTTCCTCACAGTGGGCTTGGGGTTTGTGTGGGCACAGGGACTAACTGGGAGCTGAGTACACCAGGCACCAGATTCTGGGGCAGAAACAACTCTGTCAACCAGAGACAGACTTTGGCAGTTGCTAACGCCCATTAATTATTAGATATTCAGTGTTTGGACAACTGGCGAAAAAAGGAAGATGACATTAAAAACATAAACAGTCGGGCATGATGGCAGATAACGGTAATTCCAGCACTAGGGAGGTTGAGGCAGAGGTGGTCCCGAGTTTGAAGTCAGCCTGGACTACATAGTGACACCCTGTCTCAAAAATAAACACAAAACCTATGAACTAAACTTCATAAAGATAGTCCACTTTTAAAATCAGCTACACCAAACACCTTTCTCACAAAAATAAAACCACTCACCTTGTCTTAGTTGGTTTGGACTACTAAAACAAAAATAGCATAAATTGGGTGGCATATCAACAACACTAACACTTTTCCCTTCCAGCTCTGGAGTCTCAGAAGCCCCAGAACAAGGCACAGCAGACTGAGTCAGTGTCCTTCACAGACAGTGCCTGGTCTGTGTCCTCACATGGCACAGACCTCAAGCCTCAGACATGAAAGCACAAACCCCAATCATGAGGGCTTCATCCACATGACCTAATCACTTCCCAGAGGCCTCAGCTCTTAAAACTATCACATAAGGGGTTACAAATGTGGAGACATTTGGACCATAGCACTATTCTCAGCAAACCATCAAGCAGACTGAAGATGGACTGGAGGACAAGCCAGAATGTCATTGTAGTCAAGGGGATGCTGTTGACCATCCAACTCCTACTGGACCAGAAAGAGACAAGAAATGTTGTCTACAGATGATTCGGACGTAGGGAGGAATGAGCCATTCTCGGGTGTCCAGGCATGTCTTACTGGAGAAGCAATAACACAGGGGAGGTAATGCTCTGACCCCCACCACAACTGCACTGAAAATAGCCCATTCATCAGCTGAAAATTCAAACCTTCAAATGATGCCTGATTTCTGCACAGATGTGTGTTCTCTCAAGAAATCTGCATGCAGCACAGCTGTATGCCAGATGTCTTCACACAGAAAGCAAAGAGACCCTTGGAAAGAGCTCCCTCCTCTCGTTTCTTTTTAGCCATCTCCTGGCCTCTCTTTCTTTTCTCTGTCCCTTCCCCACTCTCCATTTCTATCTCTCATGTGTTCATAGTTGATGGATTTCAGAAGAAAGCATCTATTTGGTAGTAAAAGAATTATATAACATACATAAAGAAAGTTGGTTTGGGTGTTCTCCCTTGTCCTGTACATAGTCTTGACACTCTCGAACATATTTGAATCAATGTTAAGTTTCTCTTCATCTTCATCTTATGGTATCCTATCTGCAAAAGTATCTCCAGTGTCTATTGCCTGCAAGATAAATTCTAGACTCCTTGGACAAGAATTCAAGGATCACCACTATAAAAATTCCTCTTTTTTTCCTCCTTCTTTCCCCATCATCATTTTTTATTGAATCCTAATGTCTCTCCCCAACTTAACAAAATATATTTCTAAGCCTTTCAATAATCCTGCAAAGTAAGTATGATTAATTCAATTTTGCTGAAAAGAATACTAAAAAATAGCTAAAGAAATACTAAAATTTTGCAGAAAAGAATATTAAAATAGCTAAAGAAGCTAAGAGAAGGTAAGTAATTTGCCTAAAATTGAAGACTTTGTGACTGACACAGCTTAGTTCAGATCCAAAGTCTATCCAGTTGCTTAAATTCTAGTTTCCTGTAGTACAAGAAGTCACTGTAAAAGTTGTTCTGGGATTTGAAACATTGAAATATATTGATCATTTTCAGTGGGCCAGAAACTTTTCATCCATTGTTTCTATTAACACTCACAAAATCTCATGAAATTGGTATTATTACTCCTATTTTACCAGATGGAGATAGACAGAGAAATAAAGTAACTTGCTCAAAGGTAAGCAAGTAGTAAACAACAGGGTTACGTTTGTCTTTGGTCTCTCTTTTGACTTATAATGACTCCAAATTGTGTTTCTTTTTTTTCTTCTCTAAAAGCCATATTTATGGCCAAATTGGTCTACCAGTTGTCTCCTTAACATACCTTCTGTTTTCTGTCTAGCCCATATCTTGTATTTTCTTATCTCAAGGATTTGGTTAATGTTCTTCTCCACAATGCCACTTTGTTCCTTCTCCTATTTCCTTATATATAGCCTGTCCATCCCTCCAGTTGCTCTTCATTCTTTGCAGACAGAGCTGAATGTGTAACATAAAGACCCAAATCAAGTGACATTTTAAAAACAGAACATCAGACTCTTCTGGGGGAAAAAAAAAGATAACTCCACAGAATATGGAGAAACAAAGATCCATTGGCCATTTCATCATATTCTCCTTGAATAGACCTAACCTCCTCCCTTTTCTGATCTTACCTTATCTTGAGCTCAGAATATGCTTGATGACATCAGTGGATGTCTAGGGTAGTATTTATAGCTTCTGGATGCCCAGGCTTAGAATACTACTCTTGTGTTTACCAAATCAACTGTGAATCCTGTAAGGGCAGAAGCCTTATTTTAGACTTCTTGATATGCCTTCCCTTTTTCCATGTATGTGATGGTGTACTCATCAAAGGCCTAGACCTCTCTCAGGCAAAGAGGACAGTCCCTACAATGCTGCATATGATAGAGACTATCTCTACCATGTCCTGGCTCAGTTGGCCATCCCTATTTAAGTGAAGAACTAACTGGAGAGGGAGCTTTACATTGTAGGAGTCTGACCCCAAGACCAAAGACACTCTCTCCAAACTGCCTCTAATCATGCCTCTTTTTCTAACTCAGAACTAGAAGTTTGGGGATAGAAGAGACCTTAGACTCCATCTGGTCCAAACTTCTCATTTCACCAATGTGGAAATTGAGGTCCTAGAGGACAACTGACTTAACACTAAGGTCATACATCTCACTTAAAACTAAGGTCATACATCCCAGACTTGAACTAGATCATATGGCCCTTACTTCAATACCCATAATACCTGATCATAAATATGTTTTGGCATCAAGTATCTGAGCCAAGCTAGAGCCTGTTTTCAGAAAGACCTAGACTATAGAGAAGCTGGGGAGGAGTATAGGTAGCCAAGGTCTCTGGCTGCCTGTTCATCTGCCCTAGGAACTTGTCTATCCTGAATGAAACTCCTTACAGAAAAAGACCATGAATGTATTGCCATAGCTATGATGTGAATGGAAATAATTCTATCTTCTCTGCTCATTTTGACAAGTAAAATAAGTTATCCAATGGGTACCCTCAAGAATTGTTTCTGTTTAGACACGTTGAAACTAGAGGTTTTTCAGTTTGGGAAAATAATGGATATGAAATGAGGGTGTGGAAAGGAACATGGAATTACAAGGACTCAGAGCCAAGGAAATGTGTCACTTTCACAGGAAGATCTTAGAGATCAGCCTCCATGGCCAGTCTACTTTACAGAGGAGTAAACTGAGGCTCAGAGAGACAGCGCATCTGGGGCAGAGCGGATGTAGAACACTGGACTCTGGATGTTGCACCTGAGTCCCTTTGCAGCATC